TTTGGCTCTTCCAAACACAATCTTTCACAAACACAGGTGTATTACCTTTGGCTCTTCCAAACACCTATCTTTCACACACAGCAGTTGTAGTTAATCAAATTGAGCTTGAAAGCTTTAATGTGAAATTTGTTAAAACATGGTGAATCAAGCAAGAAACAAGACCCCAGCATCAAAGAAAACTGGCTTATCAACAGCATCAGGTCTCTGAAGCTGAAATACCCTGGCCACACCAAACTTTCTGTTGGATTAGATCATCCAACATTTCTAGAAAGCTGGTTCACAGAACATGAGGTGACAGCTGACCAGCAGGAAAACACTGAATATTGAAAACCCTTTTTGTACAACAAACTTCTTATTCTTAGCATTCGCTGGCTGTAAACTCCGATGGAAAGTTCTGGTTGTTTGTCCACTTCTGGACTTGTTCTAGAACTTGCATTTTGTGTGCACATTCATCTGACAGATGTGGCTTATTTGTATGCAGACTGTTGGTTCCTCATTTCTCAGGCAAATGCACTCTGACTTCAAAGGAAATGCCAGAATTATTGCCTTTTAGCATGTGCTAACTTGGGTGCAGTAGGTCTATTCTTGTTGGCCCCAAAAAAGGGCTCCAGAATCCCCACTGGGATGACCAAATACGAGGCAGGATCACGTGCAAGGCCCCCTGAATATTTCTTGCAGGCTCAGTTAGGAGTGATGTTCTGCACAGTACCTACTTACTACACAACGCTGACTGGTACGACACTTGGAACTACTGCTAATGTATGTTGTGTCACCAGAAACAGATGCTGGTCATCAATATGTGGCCTTTCTCTGTTCAGCTCAAGGCCTGTCCCTCAGCCTGTCCCTCAGCCTGTCCCTCAGCCTGTCCCTCAGCCTGTCCCTCAGTTGCTCTAGTGGTTGCAACTAAAACACTTCTTCTGTCTAGCTCTGCTGGATGTGGTCACAATTTCCTGATGTTTATGAGAATTCCACAATTAGAGGCAGTGGTCCAGATAAGACCCTTAGACCACACTTATTTTCAAAGGTCTGCCATACACCTCAGACTTACCAATAGCCATATTAAAAAAAAATAAATCGACATTAGCATCGTAAAGATGATTTAGGTTTGTATGTGTGTGTGTGTGTGCGTGTGTATGGTGTAAATGATATCACAGACTCTTCAAATGTGTCTCCCCCCCCCCCCCCAAGCTGGGTGCCACCAATTAAGATGAAGGTACTTAGAATGGATTGCTGCTGCATTATACGTACCCCCAGACACCTGCACAAATCTCGTGAGTTAGCAGAGATAAGTATCTACCCCCAGACACCTGCACAAATCTCGTGAGTTAGCAGAGATAAGTAACTACCCTCCAGACACGTGCACAAATCTCGTGAGTTAGCAGAGATAAGTAACTACCCTCCAGACATGTGCACAAATCTCGTGAGTTAGCAGAGATAAGTAACTACCCTCCAGACATGTGCACAAATCTCGTGAGTTAGCAGAGATAAGTATCTACCCCCAGACACCTGCACAAATCTCGTGAGTTAGCAGAGATAAGTAACTACCCCTAGACACCTGCACAAATCTCGTGAGTTAGCAGAGATAAGTAACTACCCTCCAGACACGTGCACAAATCTCGTGAGTTAGCAGAGATAAGTATCTACCCCCAGACACTGCACAAATCTCGTGAGTTAGCAGAGATAAGTAACTACCCTCCAGACACGTGCACAAATCTCGTGAGTTAGCAGAGATAAGTAACTACCCTCCAGACATGTGCACAAATCTCGTGAGTTAGCAGAGATAAGTAACTACCCTCCAGACATGTGCACAAATCTCGTGAGTTAGCAGAGATAAGTATCTACCCCCAGACACCTGCACAAATCTCGTGAGTTAGCAGAGATAATTAACTACCCCTAGACACCTGCACAAATCTCGTGAGTTAGCAGAGATAAGTAACTACCCTCCAGACACGTGCACAAATCTCGTGAGTTAGCAGAGATAAGTATCTACCCCCAGACACCTGCACAAATCTCGTGAGTTAGCAGAGATAAGTAACTACCCCTAGACACCTGCACAAATCTCGTGAGTTAGCAGAGATAAGTAACTACCCTCCAGACATGTGCACAAATCTCGTGAGTTAGCAGAGATAAGTAACTACCCTCCAGACATGTGCACAAATCTCGTGAGTTAGCAGAGATAAGTAACTACCCTCCAGACATGTGCACAAATCTCGTGAGTTAGCAGAGATAAGTAACTACCCTCCAGACACCTGCACAAATCTCTTGAGTTAGCAGAGATAAGTAACTACCCTCCAGACATGTGCACAATTCCGTTATGTTAGCAGAGATAAGTAACTACCCTCCAGACACCTGCACAAATCTCTTGAGTTAGCAGAGATAAGTAACTACCCTCCAGACATGTGCACAATTCCGTTATGTTAGCAGAGATAAGTAACTACCCTCCAGACACATGCACAAATCTCGTGAGTTAGCAGAGATAAGTAACTACCCTCCAGACACATGCACAAATCTCGTGAGTTAGCAGAGATAAGTAACTACCCTCCAGACACCTGCACAAATCTCTTGAGTTAGCAGAGATAAGTAACTACCCTCCAGACACATGCACAAATCTCGTGAGTTAGCAGAGATAAGTAACTAACCTCCAGACACCTGCACAATTCCGTTATGTTAGCAAAGATGAGAACCTAGATCATGTGTTGTCTAAGACATGTACAGGCTCCTTTCGGCTTTGACCAAGTTCCGTTCCAATTAACAAGTCCTAAGGTTAACTTACATTTTACAACACTACTTTCATTCAAACAGGTTATAAAAACAGTATATAAAACACAAAAAATTCAATCTATATACATATAATTATCGTACATATGCACTCCAGGCATCATCAGCTCTGTGAACTTTTTGACCCAACCAATGTAGATAACTTTCTATATTTACTATTTTTATGTGATTTAATATTTTGTGGTCAAAAGTGCGGATAGTCATATGTGGCACAGGCTGTAAGTTGAGAAGGTGAATTCTAGCCCTTCAAACACCTGCTCCTGAGCTTGCTGTTGAAATTTTTTAAGAGGAAGCTTGTGCGATAATATAATGTTGAACATTTGTGGGCAATGGAAGACATGTCTGAACATGAACATTAACACAGCCAAGAATAATGTTCACAAATTATTATATTTACAATTACTGTTGGTGTCTACTTTTGCAGACTTTTAAACCTATGTTCACTTTGAAATTAACACTGTCTAAAATGTCTGCTTTGAAATTAATGCTGTCCATAATATCTGCCTTGTAATTAATGCTGTCCGTGTCTGGTTTGAAATTAATACTGTAGATATTAGCCATTTAATGATGTCGTAATTAAATTAACGATGACCTACATTAAGTCTGTCAAGAATCATCTTGCACTGTCTTCCTCTGCCTCTCTTTCCGGAAATCCTTCCTGTGGTCACTACAATTTCCAGTTTCCCTTCTTCTCATAACACGGTCAAACAGATTATGACCGTCTCCATCTGACATTTGCGATAATTTGTTTTCGGGCCCTCACTTTCAATACATTTTAAATAAACTTTCAATCAATTAATACTGGGACTAACAAAATACAATGTTCTAATCCAGTTGGAGAAATAATATCTGCAAATCTTAAATACTTGTCAAATAATTCATACAGAAAATACTGATAGAAATGATAATATTCCAAGTAAAAACGATACGTCAACTGCCAAGAGTGTATCAATATCATATCAATGGCAGTATCTACACGTATTAATTCATAACTTACTGGACACTGATAATGAGACTGTATCTACTACACCCATTCTGTATTCTAATATTCAAAGCGAACAGTAACACTTTCTCTACCAAAGACAACAACTGCAGCACAGCAAATTACCGGAAACCTGTTAAGAACGCAAGCAAAGTAATTTAAAAAACATTAATATCCAATTAGACAAATATTTCTGTTAAATTACAAATAAAATAATAATTTAATCAAGTTGAACATCCAGAAGGAAACAGGATGTGCGAACACAACAATATGTAGAAAGATAGTGTTCAAATCTTATGCTTCATTTGTTGTTGAGCATTTAATATTTCAACAATGAAATTGCACTAAAACCTCGTTAAAATAAAGATAGGATTAGAACTGTTCCCAAAGTTATTGTTATCTTTCTGCTCTCATCCTAGCAATCTATGACAACACATGAGACAGGATTAGAACTGTTCCCAAAGTTATTGTTATCTTTCTGCTCTCATCCTAGCAATCTATGAAAACACAAATGAGTTAGGATTATGTTTGTGAATATTTAAATAATGATTTGGTGTTCTTCTGTAACACTGGATGATGATTACCGCACTTTTGAGAAAGGATTCAAATATGTCTTACAATGTTTCTGCTCATCTTTTGTCAGAATGGAATAGAATATTTCTTAAAGATTTCACAATCATCCAGTGTTTCTCTGTAATACTGGCTAACTGATCAATGAAATAAGAGAATGGATGAGAACACTTCTCAGAATACTCGTGATTTTGTAATCTTCTGGCAGGTCATTCACCATGAGAAAGAATCAGAATTTTTCTGAAAATGTTCACAACTTTTCTACTTTTGATGAGACGTGTTTAAACATAAACTCTGAAAGTGAACTACGAGAATCCCATTTGCAGGCTTCAAAACTTGACCTTGCAAAATTATACAGAACAAAAATACACAGGGTAATTTACTAGACTAGACATTCATAAAAAGAAGTACCTGAAGTGAGCAATATAAGTCTTGAAGCTGAAATCACTCAAGTTTCCCAGAAATTTCATTCTCACACATCCAGATTTTAACTATACCTTCAAGATATGGACAAGAATAATTCATAAATACATTCAAATATTGCCACATAGATGAATTTCCATCAATAACAAATGTTTCCATGTTGAAGCTGGTCTTAAGGGGACTGCCCAAATCATTTGTGTGATGTCGACACTACTGATCTCTTGTGTGACGTCTGCTGGGTGTGGAGTCAGACACAGTCCACCATGGACATCAGGAGAGGATTCACATACTCAAACCCTTCAAACTCTGACTGGTCAATACTGCCAATGGTTTTCCTGAAAAACATTCAAGCTATTTAATCTCAAACCATATATCTGTACGTTCTTCAGATAACCGTACCAACCAAAAACATACAAGATACAGAATGTTTTGTCACCTCAAACCAGATATCTGTACATTCTTCAGATAACCGTACCAACCAAAAACATACAAGATACAGAATGTTTTGTCATCTCAAACCAGATATAATAACCGTACCAACCAAAAACATACAAGATACAGAATGTTTTGTCACCTCAAACCAGATATCTGTACGTTCTTCAGATAACCGTATCAACCAAAAACATACAAGATACAGAATGTTTTGTCACCTCAAACCAGATATAATAACCGTACCAACCAAAAACATACAAGATACAGAATGTTTTGTCACCTCAAACCAGATATCTGTACGTTCTTCAGATAACCGTACCAACCAAAAACATACAAGATACAGAATGTTTTGTCACCTCAAACCATATATCTGTACGTTCTTCAGATAACCGTATCAACCAAAAACATACAAGATACAGAATGTTTTGTCACCTCAAACCAGATATCTATGAATTGTCCATTTGCTCTCGGACAACTGTTTCAAGACAATCCCACCAACATGATGTGATTATAAATACAGGCTCTGTGGTGAGAGGCAGAAGAAGCTGATATCAAAACATCTAGTATGAGAATGGAGGTGGAGGCAGTCACTGCAGACTTCAACTGGCTTGAGAACCAGTGGCACACATGTTGTGACCAACAAACTTACAAAAACATGCAGAGAAAGAGGGAGACAGGTATGCTCAGTGGAGAGTGTTGAGCATCACTTTGAAATCCTGGGTTACATTCAAGATTGTTAGTAAATGAATAGCCAAAACTGGAACTACAGTGGATATGAAAGCACGCTGCAGTAAAATTCTTCTTCTTCTTTTTCTTCTTCTTCTCTTCCACCATTTACCTCAGCGAAATGTTGGGGGGGGAGATGTAAGGATTGTTTGTGCACTTTTGTCAATGCACTGTACAAGCTGGAGTTCATTTCTGTTAGGTTGTCTGTAAAAGTCTAACATGCATAAGAAGCAAAGAAAGCCTTCTGTGTAGGTAATCAAAGTTCTTAGGTCCTGCTGACTTCTAAAGGTGCGGCCCGTGACGGATGAAAGGCCCAATATTTGGAAGCGGTGTTAAACAGTCATGAGCAGGATGTGATGATTCCTTGAGGGGCCCAGTATCATAGCACCATGTACTGGCTCTGCATTTACAGAAGCCTCCTTGGATGACGGGGAATGCCCATGTTCTGTCCCTGCCTTCTCTTGAGGGCTGACCAGTGTTATGTGGCTGCTCTGGACAGGCCTTGTGGGAGAAGGACACCACCTGTGTACAAAGATGACCATACCACCTGTGTACAAAGATGACCATACCACCTGTGTACAAAGATGACCACACCACCTGTGTACAAAGATGACCACACCACCTGTGTACAAAGATGACCATACCACCTGTGTACAAAGATGACCATACCACCCGTGTACAAAGATGACCACACCACCTGTGTACAAAGATGACCACACCACCTGTGTAAAAAGATGACCACACCACCTGTGTACAAAGATGACCACACCACCTGTGTACAAAGATGACCACACAACAACGAGACTGCAATGTCACAGGAAACTAACCCAGAAAGCTAACCAGAACAACAAATGCCTGCAGAAATAGGACACGTCGGCCGAAAGATACAAATATCGCAGCCATGTTGTAAACAGACATCATACATTCACATCTTCAGATGAACGGAGAAGAAGAAGAAGAGCAGGCACACAGACTGGCTGTTTACTATTCATACTCATGATAATAATGCTGTTTTAACAACTGACACAACATAAAAAAAAATGAAATGAACAATTTATAATTTATAAATAATTCTACTGAACAATTTAGAAGCTTGACTATCTCCTCTGAAGTTGTGAGTGTCTCTTGAGTATTTTTAGCAGACAGCCAAGTCAAGGTAACTTGTGTCTTTCATGTCTGTGGAAGCATCCTGTGCCAAATCTTCTGACAGACAACCTAGCCTAAGTGGCTTTCACATTGGGATGTGACGGTGTACATTCTGCTCACAATCCTTATCTTCTAACAGACAACCTAGCCTAAGTGGCTTTCACACTGGGATGTGACGGTGTACATTCTGCTCACAATCCTTATCTTCTGACAGACAACCTAGCCTAAGTGGCTTTCACACTGCGATGTGACGGTGTACATTCTTCTCACAATCCTTACCTTCTGACAGACAACCTAGCATAAGTGGCTTTTACACTGGGATGTGACGGTGTACATTCTTCTCACAATCCTTACCTTCTGACAGACAACCTAGCATAAGTGGCTTTTACACTGGGATGTGACGGTGTACATTCTTCTCACAATCCTTACCTTCTGACAGACAACCTAGCATAAGTGGCTTTTACACTGGGATGTGACGGTGTAAATTCTTCTCACAATCCTTATCTTCTGACAGACAACCTAGCCTAAGTGGCTTTCACACTGCGATGTGACGGTGTACATTCTTCTCACAATCCTTATCTTCTGACAGACAACCTAGCATAAGTGGCTTTCACACTGGGATGTGACGGTATACATTCTGCTCACAATCCTTATCTTCTGACAGACAACCTAGCCTAAGTGGCTTTTACACTGGGATGTGACGGTGTACATTCTGCTCACAATCCTTATCTTCTAACAGACAACCTAGCATAAGTGGCTTTTACACTGGGATGTGACGGTGTACATTCTGCTCACAATCCTTATCTTCTAACAGACAACCTAGCCTAAGTGGCTTTTACACTGGGATGTGACGGTGTACATTCTGCTCACAATCCTTATCTTCTAACAGACAACCTAACATAAGTGGCTTTCACACTGGGATGTGACGGTGTACATTCTGCTCACAATCCTTATCTTCTGACAGACAACCTAGCCTAAGAGGCTTTTACACTGGGATGTGACGGTATACATTCTGCTCACAATCCTTACCTTTTCTTCAACATCTCTCACTACAAGATAAATTAGTTAATGTAACAACAGATAGGGTTAACACAGAAAAATAACATGAAGACTTGAGAAAACTCAAGTCAACAGCAGATACAAGAAGCTAGGATCAAACAAGAGGTAACTTACGGATCATCAGGAGTCAGCCGAACCGGTTCATTTGTGAATGCGGGGTCAAAATGTTCCAGGTCTCGCTCATTTTCAATGTGAGGCTTGTACGGGGGAATAATCTGCTTCTCTTCAAGCAGTATCCAGTCAATGGATCGGAAAAATGGATGAGACTGGATATCAGAAAACCCAGTTTGAGGGTGGCACCCTAAGCGTTCCGCTGGTACCTGACCAAACGAGAAGGATGACAAGACTAAACGTAAGAATGTTTTGGTTTATAAGAAAATCTCTGTTTCATTGTATCTCTGTTTCACTGTATCTCTGTTTCACTGTGTCTCTGTTTCACTGTATCTCTGTTTCATTGTATCTCTGTTTCATTGTATCTCTGTTTCATGGTATCTCTGTTTCACTGTATCTTTGTTTTATTGTATCTCTGTTTCAATTTATCTCTGTTTCACTGTATCTCTATTTCACTGTATCTCTGTTTCACCATATCTCTGTTTTGATTTATCTCTTTTTCAATTTATCCCTGTTTCACTGTATCTCTGTTTCAAGGAATCTCTGTTTCACTGTATCTCTGTTTCACGGTATCTTTGTTTCATTGTATCTCTGTTTCAATTTATCTCTGTTTCACTGTATCTCTGTTTCACCATATCTCTGTTTTGATTTATCTCTTTTTCAATTTATCCCTGTTTCACTGTATCTCTGTTTCAAGGAATCTCTGTTTCATGGTATCTCTGTTTAAATTTATCTCTGTTTCACTGTATCTCGGTTTTACCGTATCTGTTTCACTGTTTATCTCTGTTTCACTGTATCTCGGTTTTACCGTATCTGTTTCACTGTATCTCTGTATCACTGTTTCCTAGTACCTCTGTTTCACTGTATCTCTGTTTCATTGCATCTGTTTCACTGAATCTCTGTTTCACTGAATTTCTGTTTCATTGCATCTGTTTCAATTTACCTCTGTTTCACTGTATACACGGGGAATCTGCTAAAGATCCTGGAACTCTTCTGTTTCAACAACTGATTCTCTTCTGGCAACTGAAAGTGAAATGATGGTGGTGGTGAGCTTAAAACGACAAGAATGGGTGGCTGAGAAATCTCCTAAAAATCTGTATTTCATTTTTGAATCCAATGCTCTGACTCTCAGGTTATTTTTAGACAGTATAAAGGCTTACATCTACTGGGGTGGTGATGCTGTAAAGACTTTTCTCTCTGCCCAGTGGTAAAGTACCATCACCACAGTGACTGTGTTGCAGAGCTCTGCAACCAGGACATGATTCAGCACTTCACCTACCAGCTGAGATTCGGTCTATTATGGTGACATGTTTCCTGACAGGTGTCAGATGTTTCACTAAAAGCAGACTCCAACTCAATGTCTCCATCAACTGAGATAGCCAATCTCAAGCCAAATATCTTGAGTTGGCTTGTATGACATGCATAGCAGGTCACAGAGTGACTACACTTTACTTCCCACAAAAGCTCCAGTAAAACATCGGGCAATCCCACATCTTACCTTATTTAAAAATCCTTTCAGCAACGCAGCAGCTTTGACAGACAGAGATCGGGGAATTCTGATAGGTTTTTCCAAGATGACTGTGGAATGACATAAATGACATGTTCTAAAATATGTTAAAAAAAAAAAAAAAGATTTTTCTAATGAGCGATCATTGATTTCCAAACACACAAGTATATGATTTCATCTCCAGGAGTATTCTGATGTTGGGAATGTGGTGGAGTGAGAAGAAATCACAAGATAACCCATCAAATCCATCAGGAAAATACAAATGACACTGCTGTGATGCCCTCCACATGTGGGTTCTGGGGCCTCCTTGTGGGGAAACAAAATTAGACCCACTGCCTACCCAATAGCATGTCGTAGAAGTCAACTAACTGGGAGCATCCTTTGAAGTCATACTGCATCTGCCTGAGAAGCAAGGAACCAACAGTCTGCATACACATAAGTCAGATTTGTAAAAGAGATGTGCATGAAACACACAGGTTCTGGAATAGGACTACAGTTGAGAAGTGGATGAACAACCACAACTTTCTACCAGAGTTTACAGCCAGTGAATGCAAAGAATCAGCAGAGATAAGATGTCAAAAGGAGTAAAAGAAATTAGCCATTATGTTGGGAAATGCAATGGTAGAGGGTTACAGAAAACAGAGAATAATCTTTGTGGAAGACAGGATCACAAATAATAACAGAATCAGCAACTTCATCAACATGGTCGTTGTCAAGTGGGATGATGTAATTCACATGAAAAATAATAAGATGGAGAGGGGTGATAAAGGATTAGGAGGAGGTGGTCAGAAAGATGAAAACGGAGATGAAAGATGTGGTGCAGGATGAAGAAAGAAGAGGGTGAGAGGATAAGATGAAGGATGTGGTGCAGGATGAAGAAAGAAGAGGGTCAGACAGGATAACATGGAGGATGTGGTGCAGGATGAAGAAAGAAGAGGGTGAGACAGGATAAGATGGAGGATGAATGAGTAGAAGAAGGATGAGTAGTTTTCGGTGAAGCAACAATATTTTGTCTACTCAGATCTGTATTTTTTTTTTCAAAACTTCTGACCAGGATCTTCTTTTTAGCATTTCAGTGACTGTAAACTTAGGCAGAAAATTCTGGCTGTTCATCCTCTTCTGGGCTATGGTCTTGTTCTAGAATTTGAGTTTAGTGTGCACATACATTTGACAAATCTAGATATTTTTTATGCAGACTGCTGGTTCCGTGCCCCTCAGGTAGATGCACTCGACTTTAAAAACAACCCTAATAAGTCACCCCCTGTGACGTGTGTGTTAGTCAGGCAGTTGGCCTCATTTCTTCCTCATAACCGGGGTCCTAGATATCACATGGGGATAACTAGGATAGATTTTTGAGTCACGAACCTCACTTCATAAAACAGGTTGTCGAGATTTACTGTAGAGATTTACTGTAAAGATTTACACTGAGAAAGAATGGTGGCTAGTAGAGGGCATGTGACCTTACAATACCATGACCTATATCTGAGAAGGAGAAACAGTCAACATTTCCCTTTGTCACAGGGTTACCTTTTCAGGTAAGTAACTCCCATGTCTGAATATTCCCTGTGATCATAAACACTCAGGGTTGAATCCGTTCAGCTCAGCAAACAGACAGAACTGAGACCAGAAACTTTGCTACCAATTTCTGTGCTTCTGACTACAAAATAAACAATATAGTAAAATAGAGAGAAGAAAGAGAGATGAGGGAACAAGGATGACAGCTGTCAAGTTCTGGATATGATTTTCAAGCTGCCAATTCAGTTTTTTGGTGCCTGTTTGTTTCCATTTCCCTGTGTGGGTTCCGGGCCCAGTCGTGAGGAAAACAAGAACAGACCCATTGCTTTCCTGACAAGAGTGTTACAGAGGTTGACTAATTAGGGTTTTCGTTCAAGGTCAGAGTGCATCTGCCTGAGAGGCGAGGAACCAACAGTCTGCAACAAACTAGCCAAACAATAAGCCAGAAATGTAAAACAGATGTGCATGCAACAAATGGATGAACAACCAGAACTTTCTGCTGGAATTTACAGCCGGTAAACGCGAAGAAGAAGATGAAGAAGAAAAAGTTTCCATTTTAAAAAAAAAGACAGGTGAAAAAAATGTGACTTTTGCTCAAGAGTATGAAAAAAAACGAGACAACAATACTGCAACAAAAACAACAACAAACAGCACACGACTAACTTTGAAAGAGGTAGTCCTCTGTGTTCTGGTCTGGGTTGTCAGCGTTTCCTACAGCATCGAAGGGTGACCTCCCAGCCAACATCTCGTACATCAGGACACCCAGTGCCCACCAGTCCACGCTGAAATCTGTTCACAGGAACACGGGTTGAGGTGATGATTATTATCATCATTAATATTATTACAGAATTCAAGAAGACAATATCTTCCAAAAAAGACAACAACTGCCCAAGCAAGCAACCAACATAGATGGCATTTGTTGGCAGAAGCAGGTGCCTGGAACCGTGAAATATTAACTCTTGTTGTATTAAATAAGCAATTGACATTTAGGTTTTAATGATTTGTTCCTGCCAGTTATTTTAGCCAGCAATGTCTACATCCTTTCACGTCTGCTGGCAGAGACTGAGCACTTATAAGCTTGCCTATCTTCAACAATTCAATGATCTTATTACACACAACAGGCAAAATAAGCACAATTTTAACACCAATGGCACAAAGTTGTGAACATACCATCAGACTTGGCAAGAATATAAACGTACACAGCTTGAGACAGAAACATACAATACTACACATCCATACAGATATGACGTGGGAGGTGCTACAATATGACAAATATTTCAAACTAAAATAGCATGCAAAATCTACAACTTAAACAAGAAAAAAAAAAGAGATTTAAAGGGAGCTGATTTTGTGTGGTCGTTACAGAACTTACCTGTAAAGACAGTGGGTCCAGGATCAATTACCAGAAGAGGCTGGACATTTTTTTCTGACCAGAATGGCTCTATAGTTGCCTCTAGGGGTGTCTCTAGGGGTGCCTCTAGGGGTGTCTCTAGGAGTGTCTCTAGGGTTGCCTCTAGGGGTGTCTCTAGGGTTGCCTCTAGGGGTGTCTCTAGGGTTGCCCCTAGGGGTGTCTCTAGGGGTGCCTCTAGGGGTGTCTCTAGGGTTGCCTCTAGGGGTGGCTCTATAGAATTGTCTATAGGGGTGGCTCTAAAAGGTTCCCTCTAGTGTTGCATCTAGTTTTACCTCTAGGGTATCCTTTATGGGTGGCTCTAGTGTTGACTCTTGGGGTGGGTCTAGAGTGCTGCCTTAGAGGGTGCCACTATAGGTGGCTCTAGAGTGTTGTCTTTAGGGGTTGCTTTAGAGGGTTGCCTCTATGGTTCTGTCTAGTGTTGACTCTAGGGTTGCCTTTAAAGGTGGTTCTAGTGTCGCCTCTAGAGTGTTGCCTCTAAGGGTGCCACTAGGGGTGGCTCTACTGTTGCCAGCAGGAGTGGCTCTACGGTTGCCTCTAGGCGTGGTGGTGGCTTTAGAGTTGACCTAGCCTTACAAACTGGGTACTAGACTATTTCTCAAATTATTCTGGCAGGACCGGTGATGAGGATAGGAACTGCTCCCACCACCTCAGATGACATGAGGTAGATTTGGTATAGCCAAAAATGTCACAACCCAATGGCAGCCTCAGATTTTGGACCAACTTTACCTTCTCCTATTCTCTCTTGATTTCTTCATTAAAGCAATATTTGTTTTAATCATTTGTCTGTGGCTTCAGCATTGCGAGCATGCTTTATAATTCTGGGGTGCTGGGTTTGATCCAACTGCCGGTGATTCGACAATACCTTGAACTGGTTTTGACAGTGGTATGAAGAGCCGACCAAATATCATGTGATGGCAAACTACTGAATGTAAAATTGCTCAGTGAAATCTCAAACAGCCAAAATATGCTGGTATTGTTCTGCAATGTTCTGTTAAGGATATGCAGCTATATTTTTTTACTAGTTAATACACAAAAAAAGAATTTAGTGCAAGACAGCCTAGCATAGGACACCACAACATCTAGCATGAGAATGGAGGTGGAGGCAGTAACTGTAGCTCTGCGGTGGCTAGAGAACAAGATGCATACACATATTGTAATTGTTAACAGACTCTCAAAACATGCTGAAAAAGGTGACGACAGGAATGCTTCGAGCAGAGTGGCAAGCTTCACTGGAAAGGTCATCGGTAGTGAGCATACTTTGGATCTTTTCTCCAGGCCATGCTGGCATGGTTGGTAATGAACAGGCAGACAGATTGACTGGATCCGCACCACTGGGTGGTGACTTGATTCATGACAAGGCAGATGTGGTCAAGGCCCTTTGGGAACAAGTAACGGAATCAGAATCAGTAGAGAAAGAAGATTATTATGGCCTGGAGAGAACGAGGCACCTGGGTGTAACCATAGGGTCTGGCTGGCTCACTACACTCAGAGGAAAGGCAAGACTGACTTTTAACCAGAATGTGACCGGTACCATCAGTATTGAAACTCTGCGCTGGCTGCTGAAGATGAGGACGGAGCATGCATGGGAATGCCACGAGTGCTGTGATGTCAATTCTTGACTCAACTCAACTACAAAAAAGAATGATTTTAGTCTACAAGTAGACTGTAGATCTAAAATTGCCATGTAGGTTTCAGGGCCCGTCCGGGGAAAAACCATAGCCCCGCTGCATCCACAACAAGCATGTCATAAGAGTTGACTAGCTGGGGGCTTCCTTCAAAGTCTAACTGATTCTGTCTGAGAGGCAAGGAACCAACAGTCTGCATACCAGTAAATTTTATCCCTCCCTCCCCCCCCCCCCCCCCCAAAAAAAAAAAACAATCAGCGCTGGTAAAGATACTACACGAAACAAGCATGCAAGGCAAGGAGAACAATCCAATCAGTTGGGGCGTTTATCTAAAGCAACAAACACAGATGAAATGATTATACCCACAAATTCACAATCTCAAACAAGGCAGGCAATAAATATACAGTAAAACCTTATTAACATGAACCCGCTTAAGACGAACACTGAATTAGTACGAACAAAATGTTGTTCCCAGCAGGGATGTATTATCAATACTATATTTATCAGTGTGATTAGCACTTTTTTTAGCATAAACTCTGTCCCTTAGTATGTGTGTTAACAAGATTTGACTGTAGCATGGAGGAAACATGAAATGGCTTGAACAATGCCTTGTCAAGGTGGACAATCTCAGCCTGGGAGCGGCTCTACCCATAGTAGTGCTTCACGGAGAAAACCACGGCTTTTGAATATTCTATGGAAGGTAATGTGGCGTAGTGGTTAGTATGCTTGCCTGGGGAGAAAGTGGGTGGGGATTCAATCCCCAGCAGTAACATTGCTCAGAAACTTTGGCCATATGAAATGGTTTGGAGAGGACAGCAATAGAGGGTATGGTTCATTGCCGAAAAGGCAGGCGTTCACATCGTGGGAATGTAAGTTAATGAGGTGGGAAAGATGCAAGGAACTGATTGGCTTTTTTTTCTTCTTCTCTATGTTCACAAGCAGTAAACTCCAGCAGAAAGTTCTGTTTCTTTGTCCACTCCTAGACTCTGGTCTTGAAAAAGAACTTGAGTTTTGCCTGCAAATCCATTTTACAGACCTGTCTTATTTGTATGCAGACTGTTGGTTCCTTGCCTTAGGCAAATGCACTCTGACTTTGCAGTGAACACTCCTAGTTATTTGCCTCCTAGGACATGCTTGTCTGGTACATAGTGGGTTTATTCTTTATTCTGCAAAACGGACCCTGGAAGCCACACTGGGACACTGACTTTTCATTCTCCAAAACGGACCCCCTGGAAGCCACACTGGGACACTGACTTTCCATTCTCCAAAACGGACCCCTGGAAGCCACACTGGGACACTGACTTTCCATTCTCCAAAACAGACCCCTAGAAGCCACACTGGGACACTGACTTTCCATTCTCCAAAACGGACCCTGGAAGCCACACTGAGACACTGACTTTCCATTCTCCAAAACGGACCCCTGGAAGCCCCACTGGGACACTGACTTTCCATTCTACAAAAGCATCTGCCACATGATGATTCTAATGAATATTGATGTCGGCCTATTTTATGTTACCTCCACACAGATCACAAACAAACATCTGCAGACGAACAATACCATAGTCATCTCCCTTCAAAACCTCCGGAGCGATGTAGTTTGGCGTCCCACAAAACGTGTTGGTTTTGTCGCCAGGTCCTAGGTTCTCCTAGAAATGATAACAAATGATACAATTTTCAAGAAATAACTATCACAGATAGTTTCACCAGAGATTTCTGTCACGCTGGGGTGGATGGGGAAGACAGTCGCAAAGATTTAATTTACATAAAGTGAACTAGAGAACATAGCAATAGAATGCAGGAGTACCAATTTGCACTCGCAGAAGACAAATTAAAGAAGCAAGACACACTGGGCTATCAACAAAAGATAAAACAGAAAACTCATTATAAAGTTACCTACAGGGTGTCCAAACCCTTTCCATAAATAGGAAAATGAACATATCACCAACACTATTACGTACATAACTCAAGCTGTGCTTACATGTGTTCTTATATAAATAAAAATAGTTTTATTTACAAATTTTTTTATTTTTTTCCGACGTATGGACACTTATGGGGCACGCTGTATACAAGAAGACAGGAGACAAATGCATCAATTCTAACAACATCAGCTGGGAAAAACCTAATAAACAAAGGTGCAATTTTCTGTCCACACTCTCAGACACCATTGGTAAATGGTGCCAGCCTCTTGTTTTTATAAACAAATCAGCACTTGGTTCATGTAGTGGTCGGCATCCAACTGACCTACATTCATATATTTCCAACATCTACAGAGAAAAAAAAAGAGAATTATTTTCCCTGGAAAAGGACAAGCAATGCATTCTCAAAATGGCATGCTAATGTTTTCATGATCTCTGTCGTCTGCTTTTATCTGAAACTCAAAGATTTGAAATTAATTTGTTACAGCCGGGAAGCGGGGTCAAAATGGTAAAGACAACATTAATGATGGTAAATCACTTCTTAGTCTGTTTGCTTTTAAAAGGGTGGGTGGAATACCATGTTGTGGTTTACTGCTAGGCTGCAATATCTCCACCTTTTGGCCCCCAACCCATCTGATTTTAGTAAATAATTAGTCACCTTGTGTGACACGTTTGTTTGTGGTCAGTGAATAGAATCACCTTTATATGCTCAGTCTCTCTCAGCAGCTAAAGTGTAGGTATGCTGGCTTTCCCCCCTGATACCATCATGTCTGTATTTGCCTGTGGTAGTTTGACACAGGTGACTTGTGTATGTATTATTTCACCTGTATCCATCAACTGCTGCTGCCCACACAGCCAGTCAAGTGTTGTGTACATGTACTCTCTTCTTATTAGCATTCAGCGAGTGTAAACTTTAACAGATAAGTCTCGCTGTTGGTCCTTGAGCTCAGCATGTACATTCCTTTTATTGATCTGGCTTATTTTTATGCAGATTGTTGGTTCCTCACCTTTCAGGCCGATGCACTTTGACGGAAACAACCCAAATTATTCAACTGTCACGATACGCTTGTTAGGGGTCAGTGGGTTCATGAACTTTGACTTCCTATGACCTGTGTAGACAGTCTCTCAAAGGCATGAACAGATTATATGTTCATATAACTTAAACATTCATAAACAGTTGTCCCTGCTGGTCATTCTACATTAGAGATTGAGAATCAGACACAAATCATGTGTCATAAATCATTTGTGAGTCACAATATAAAAACCATAACTGAAACAACCATTGAGGTTTTCAACAACGGATCAACATCATGGCACACGGGTGTAACCCATAAGTGCTCCGTTCTTCTTCTCACTCAAATCTGAGTCCGAAAAAGCTCAGCACAGTGCACAGGCTCTGTAGCACAGGCGAGGATCCTGAAATACTTTGGGTAGATTTTTAACTCCAAATTTTGCCTAGGCAGTGCCGTTAGGCTACTCTTTTCGATTTCCAACTGCCAAGGGATTTTTCACATGCGCATCAATGCACACGGGCGTCTGATCTCACTACCCAGAGACCAGGGGAAATTACTAGAAGTCCAAGTCCACGTGAAAAAATCCCAGCTCTTACCAGGGACTGAACCCGGAACCTCTAGCACTTGAGGCGGACACCATGTCTCGAGACCAGGCAGCCCCCTTTTGAAACACTCATTGAATGCATCCACCTCCACAGAATGTAGTTTCATCACCTTTGATTATCTCCTCCCAAAGCCTCAGACATGGGCCGGCAGGGTGTCATGATAGAGGCATCAGCAAATGACCCACAAGGAGGGATTAACAACCTGTGACACAAGGTGCCATCATTCATTTTTTTTTTTTTTTTTTTTTTTTTTTAATATTTCAATGACTCAATGTTACATAAGTAAACGTGATCAACCATCAATTTCAAATATTTCGTTGCCACTCTCACACAAACATCATGCATAGTAGATTATTCAAATATGTATCCATTTTCTTTTGGGGGAGGAGATAAAAGTCATAGTGGGGAGGGGCAGAAATAACAGGTCAACTGTAACAACAGAAATTACATTTGTTTAAAGGCAGTAAAGTTTATACTTTACAAATGAAAAAAGGAGGCGTGGGATGGTTACTGCGGCTGAAATGTTGTGAGAAAATCTCTGGATTTGAAGAAAAAATTAAATAGGAAAACACAATTCAAATCTTAATGTGCACCCAAAAAAAAAAAAAAAAAATCAACATGCACTAGCCATCCCAGAAACCAAATAGCCTAATGCTACAGAAACTGGAATTATAATAAAGTGTTCAAACCCCTGTTTTAGGGGAACATTTGGATTAGAAATGCTGCTGTCAGTGTCTGGGAGTAACTTCTTAAACACAATGCTGCTGGCAATGTTTGAGTGTAACTTTAAGCTGCTAAAGTCAGAGAAATTTGAGGACACACAGAAATCTGTTATGGCAATTTCTGAGTTAACATTTAGAGGAAGCCCCAGGAGGTTCTACTGTTGACCAAAGGGAAAAACGAGTGGCAAAGAATTAAAAAAAAAAGAAGGGGGAAAAAAGCACTACTTTAAAGAAGACTAAATATAGCAGTAGTGGTCAGTGCCAGATTTCCTAAGTATGCCTCGACCAAACGTAAGAAAAGAACAACACATAATCTGATGGCAGGGATTTATGGAAAAAGCTAATCACATGCTAATAACAACAAAGTGTTAGTAGAAACAAAAACAAAAAATACTCAAAGCTCAGAAGCAGAAACATTTTCTTAGGCTAATTTCATGCATCTCAAGGACCAGTTTGCGTTTACATTTTTTAGCATTGCAATAAATGCACACACACTACAATAGATTACTTAATAGAAAACTGGTTGAAATCCAACAGGAAAACTCCAAATTACATTAGATTCTTATTGATTTGTCCAACATCAGAGGTAATTATAAAAATTAAATCAAAGGATACTTCTGAAAGTACAAACTTGACATCACAAGATATGAACAGGGCCTATTAAGTAAACTTTAGTGGATATAAATACCACACTCACTTCAAGAACCACACGCAAAACTTCAAGCATACCAGACACACACACAACAACAGGTCATATTTTACAGCACTACGCCAGAGGTACAACGGTATCAGTCTTGCACTCTATCAAGGATATTTATCAAAGCATGAATGGGGTTAGGTTTGAGAAAACAGAAAACAGGTGTTCAAATTCAGAGTTGACTTCAAACAAGGCATCCAGGTCGATACAGGATCTGCTTGCTAGTCTTGTTTTTTTAAAATCCAGACTGGCTGATGCTGCCGGTTTAAGGTGGTTTCTCAGTTAAACCAGGAGGGACTTCGATTTTAACAATAGGAAGAGGCATCATAATTCTTCAATACTCTTTCGTACCGTCCGTGTAACTCTCTTTTTAAACTCCTCAAAGTTCTCTCGCCACATTTTAGCAGCATCTACATTGGCCGGAGATTCATCATTGGGGTCAGCGAGCATGGAGATGACACTGATGCAGATGGTTTCCACCTTGTGGACCGGCAGCCACCGTTCCACCGCCTTCTCGTAGCCATACTTATCATCGCCAGGTTCATGCAGTATTGAGATGCACACGTTGCCCTCTTTATCAATGTTCGGGTGCCACATCTCGGACACAAACTTCATCTTTGGTGGTCTATGAGGGTACTCTCTGGGGAAGATGAGGTGTGCTTTGAACATACCACCCTCATAAAGAGTCTCTGGTGGTCCGTAGATGACTATTTCCCACTTAAACAGGTCATCATCATCTATAAGCCCGGCAGAAAATCCATCAACCGAACTTTTATTTAGCTCTTTCAGCTGTCTGCTAAGTAAGAGCGAAGCTTGTTCCAGGGCCATGCCCGAAAACAGAAAGTGTGGTCGTGAGGGGTAGACTCCCTGGAGAAGCTGCTGTCTGACGCCTGGGGATCGGGGCTGGTAAATCAGATGAGAATCCTCCAGGCACAAGTCCCAAACACCCCATTAGCGTCCCTGACGGCAGCAAAGGGGACAAATAACAGAAGCAGGAGTTGGTAATTACCTATGCTCTACTAAGTGGTAGACAAAGATAAAAAAGAAGGTGTAATAAAGAAATGCTGTATAAAATGTAAATAAGCTAAACAAACAGAATTACTGCATCTCAAATAACAACAGAGAACATAAACATCAACAACTAACAATTAACAGACAAAGAGAAATGGAAAGAAACAACGTCCTCATTATTGTCTCCCCTGGAATCTTACCATACTCCTCTCCCCTTAATATTTCCGGTGCAATGTAGTTTGGTGTCCCACAAAATGTCCCTGTTGTATCGCCTGGCTTTAACCCTTCCTGAATGTTTGTGACAGGTTTGGTAACATGAAATGATTTAATTAAACGAAGGTAAAGCATGGCATGGGTTAACGGCTAAGTAATAAGGGCATTTAAAAAAAAAATTTATGAGGAGGGAGGGGTGTGTGTGTGTGTGTGTGTGTGTGTGTGTGTGTTCTACATCCCATTTAAAAGTGCAACAGTAACCTTTCAGCTTTACAAAAAAAGATCTTTTGATAGACTGTATTAAAAACTGTCTTTCTGCATATATTTTCCACTTTTAGGGCAGTGCAGGTTGGGTTGGGGAGGGGGGGGGGGGATCCAAAGGACTTTAGGTTGCATGTTTAGATCAGAATTATTATATTTTTGTCCTCAGTAGGAAACAATCTGCATCCCTTACCAAGGATTAAACCTGGGTCTACCACATGAGAGGCAGTGCTCCCACTTGGCCAGCCACTCCACTCAATATTCTGTCCTGAAACCCCTAAAGTGAAAGGCTCCTATCTGACTGCTTCTATTTCTAGCCCAGCCCTCATCCTAGCTAATCTGCATGAGTCATGTCAGATCATGACCTGATTACATCCTAATAAGGACGCCACGGCAGCGTAATGGCTAGATGCTCGACTGGGATAAACTTATTAGCTTTGGATCTACATCAAGGCAGATTGTTTTCAAAATGAACCTTGGCTCCCAGGTTGACCCAGCCGAACACAGATAACCAAATAAGGTTTGGGGAAGTAAAGGCAATGGTATGATGTTGACCATTTCACTCGTAGAGTGCCGATAAATCTGTAAAAATATGGATCTAGCTTCTAACGCCTTACGCACCACAAGCATAGAAAGGATCATGGACTTTCTTTTCTTCTTCTTCTTCTTCTTCTTGTTCACCGGCTGTGAATTCCGGCTGTAAGTCGCGGTTGTTCGTCCAAAATGGACTTTTGTCTTTTACCTTGACCTGAGTTTTGCGTGTACTTTCTTTTCTACATTCCAATATTACACAACCTTCTGCAAATGGGAGGCTCCAGTACTGGGTTTTCACAACTAACTTCCAAGTTTGAAGAGGGGAAGGAGAACTCTGTAGAACAGTCCCCTAGGATGTGGTGTTTTCGTAGCAGAAAGGGAGAAAACTGTCAGTCTCTCTGGTAGAGGCAAGCAGTTGTTATGGTCCACATGGAAGTTAATGCCTGAGACTGGGAAGTGACAACTTGTGATCTAGACAACTCATGGCTTAAAGAACCACTTCTGGTTGTCACCTCAGCCCTCTGCACCTCATCTACAGATGAATTATTGGAAATGTCATCATCATCATCAATCTATTTAGCATTGAAAATACTTCTTGTAAATTATTTCTACACTGTTTTAAAACCAATAAACATTTGATATTTGCCTCATAAAATGTCAATTCAGAGATATCTGAGGTCAAGCATAAAAACATTCCCTTTCCCCTTTGAGCCACACAGTCAAGCCATGACAAGATGAACTATGACTGTATGGTTGACCACACATGCTGTCTGTTACTGGTGTAATGAGACAAGACCTCTAGCAAAGCTAGGCTTACAGTCAAAGGTTAAGGATCTTTCCCATGCCTTCAGGCCTACTGAGCACAAAGGGCTAGACCGATATGCTACAGATCAATGGGAACTTGGTGGGTGATGCAGTCAACATCACTAATGTTGCCTTTTCTTCCCAGGACTTTACCTGGTACCCATCTAAGGCAGGGTCAACCTGAGAGCCAAGGTCATTTTTGTGTTCAAGTCTGGCTCCATCAGTACCTGAACCACATCACATCGACTCCAGTCAGTCAAGTAAAGATCCCTTTCCATGCCTTTTAGGCGTATCGGGCATAGGGGAAGAGCGCCCATATTTTTACAGACCATCAGCACTCTGTGGGTAATGTGGTCAGCATTACGCCGGCTGTCTTTACTTTTCCAGGACAGCCCATCCTGGTACCCATTCTAGGCTGGGTCGACCTGTGACGTCCCATACCACTCGACTCCAGTACCCACCGTAAAACAGATGAATAGCAAATGTAAAGCTTTTATTGCACAGCTGTGAGTGCTTTAAACAGTCAAATATAAAAACTGTTCTGTTATAAACTTGTGTCCCGTATCAAATCACATATAACATATCAAAACTAATACACTCCAGTATACAAGAAAGGTAGCTGGATACAAATATCAGATTGTCTCAAGACTCACTTCACTGCTTCTCTAGACAGGGGCAATGCGTTATATTTAGACTATGGACAGAGCACAAGTGGCTTCACTGATATATGTTCAGGCTTTTCGTTGTAGGAAACACAGAGATGTGTCCCTGCCACTTGGCATCAGAAACTGCTGAGTATGTGCTTCAACACTGTCAACTGTATACTGCCAACTGAGAACCAATCTAGATTGTGCCACCTCAGTGAAGATAAAGCTGTATGGTACACGGGGAGATAAGGACTGCAGATAGCTTTCATAAACGCTGCTAGCCTCCTGATAAAAGTTTTCTGACAGAAAGTTGGAAGAAGACATCCAAATATACTCCACAAAGAGACAAATATAACAAAATAATGACAGAACAATATCAGCTATCACTGACCTTACACATCCCGTAGTCAGTGAGTTTGATGTGTCCCTCAGCATCTAGCAGGACATTGTCCAGTTTCAGGTCCCTGTAGACAATACCTGAGGTAGAAACAACATTTTCACTGTGTAAACCACTGACTAATGCTGGTATACTGATAAAATCAGGATTCAATGATTAAAACACAGCTGTACAGTATCATGTCTAAAGACAAAACTATACGTCAATTTAAAAAAAAAAAAAAAATACACTTAGCTGTAAACTACAACTCATGCCTGGCAAACCAGCATTTTTTAGGAAGAAAGCAGAAGAATAATAAGTTGTAAATGTACAAAACTGTATGAAACATATAGACGTCACTAGGAAGCAGTTCCTGGTACAGCTCATACATGTTATGTCATCAAAATCGATATCACTGCACAGTGGGCATTCCAAGGCATGCTCAGTCTTCAACTAAAGCAGACACTCCAAAGTTCCTCTACTGCTTGTTCCCATAAGGAGTGGGTCTAATATTTGTGCCTCGAAAGCGGCATAAACTTGAGTCATCATGCTTGACTCAAAGGTCATTCAATCATGTTATCTGATACACTCCTAGGTCAATTAATCATGTTATCTGATACACTCCTAGGTCATTATCATGGTATATGATACACTCCTAGGTCAATAAATCATGTTATCCGATACACTCCTAGATCATTAAATCATGTAATCCAATACACTCCTAGGTCAATAAATCATGTTATCTGATACACTCCTAGGTCCTTAAATCATGTTATCTTATACAATCCTAGGTCATTATATCATGTTATCTAATACAATCCTAGGTCATTATATCATGTTATCTAATACAATCCTAGGTCATTATATCATGTTATCTAATACAATCCTAGGTCATTATATCATGTTATCTAATACAATCCTAGGTCATTATATCATGTTATCTGATACACTCCTAGGTCATTATATCATGTTATCTGATTCACTCCTAGGTCAATAAATCATGTTATCTGATACACTCCTAGGTCCTTAAATCATGTTATCTAATACAATCCTAGGTCATTATATCATGTTATCTAATACAATCCTAGGTCATTATATCATGTTATCTGATACACTCCTAGGTCATTATATCATGTTATCTGATTCACTCCTAGGTCAATAAATCATGTTATCTGATACACTCCTAGGTCAATAAATCATGTTATCTGATACACTCCTAGGTCATTATATCATGTTATCTGATACACTCCTAGGTCATTATATCATGTTATCTGATACACTCCTAGGTCAATAAATCATGTTATCTAATACACTCCTAGGTCATTATATCATGTTATCTGATACACTCCTAGGTCATTATATCATGTTATCTGATACACTCCTAGGTCATTAAATCATGTTATCTGATACACTCCTAGGTCATTATATCATGTTATCTGATACACTCCTAGGTCAATAAATCATGTTATCTAATACACTCCTAGGTCATTATATCATGTTATCTGATACACTCCTAGGTCATTATATCATGTTATCTGATACACTCCTAGGTCATTAAATCATGTTATCTGATACACTCCTAGGTCATTATATCATGTTATCTGATACACTCCTAGGTCATTATATCATGTTATCTGATACATATTCTAACATAATACCAAACACAGATAACTTCAGCAGAAGACAACGGACCTACCCCGCACATGGAGGAAGTTCAATGCCAGGCAAATTTCAGCAGCATAAAATCGTGCATGTTCTTCTGGAAGCCGCCTTTGTCTCTGCATGTGGTACATTAGATCCCCTCCGTTCACAAACTCAATGACAAAGAACAGTCTGGAACCAATTCAAACACATTTGCACACATATTGCATTTATAACACAACTTGCCAAAGAGAATGATTCTTGAGCACAAGGGTTTCATTTTTGACCCAATGTCCTCTGATAAGCATGTTGTAAAAATTGACTAATTCAGGGTTTCACAGTTGCCTTTCAAGTTGGAGTGCAACTGCTTGTTTGGCAAGGAACTAATAGTCTCCATAAAAATAAGCACAATCTGTAAAACGGACGTGCACACAAAAGTTCTAGAACACAGCTGCTAGTGTTATAGTTATCACAGCTGCGAGTGTTATAGTTATCACAGATACTAGTGTTTATGATTATCACAGCTGCGAGTATTATGGTTTTCACAGCTGTGAGTGTTTATGGTTACCACAGCTGTGAGTGTTATGGTTATCACAGCTACAAGTGTTATGGTTATCACAGCCGCGAGTGTTATGGTTACCACAGCTGTGAGTGTTTATGGTTACCACAGCTGTGAGTGTTATGGTTATCACAGCTACAAGTGTTATGGTTATCACAGCCGCGAGTGTTATGGTTATCACAGCTGCGAGTGTTATGGTTATCACAGCTGGGAGTGTTATTGTTATCACAGCTGCTAGGGATACCATTATTACAGCTGCTAGAGTTATGGTTATCACAGATACTAGTGTTATGGTTATCACAGCTGCTAGTGTTATGGTTATCACAGCTGCTAGTGTTATGGTTATCACAGCTGCTAGTGTTATGGTTATCACAGCTGCTAGAGTTATGGTTATCACAGCTGCTAGTGTTATGGTTATCACAGCTGCTAGTGTTATGGTTATCACAGCTGCTAGTGTTATGGTTATCACAGCTGCTAGTGTTATGGTTATCACAGCTGCGAGTGTTATGGTTATCACAGCTGGGAGTGTTATTGTTATCACAGCTGCTAGGGATACCATTATTACAGCTGCTAGAGTTATGGTTATCACAGATACTAGTGTTATGGTTATCACAGCTGCTAGTGTTATGGTTATCACAGCTGCTAGTGTTTTACAGCTGCTGGTGTTATGGTTATCACAGTTGCAATTGTTATGGTTATAACAGCTACAAGTGTTATGGTTATCCACATAAGTACAGCAACTTCAAACATGTGGTGGGTAGGTTGGCACTGCATGCGTTAACATTTAGTCTAGTATGCTCAAACCCACCTGCTTTCTGTCTGGAAGCAAGAGTGAAGGCCCACCAGGAAGGGGTAATTAGTGGCCGCCTCAAAGACATGTTTCTCTGTCTGCACCCAGTCAATGTCCTGGAGACAGAAGGATCAGAGTCAACTACAACAACAGATAGGAAATATGTGACTGGGTGTGTATGTGTGTATAGTGATTACAATGACAGTATTGACAACAAAAGGAACATGAAAAATCAAAATAACAGAATAAATGATTGACTGAATGAATGAATAAATGAATGAATGATTCAAGAATTGACATCACTGCACTTAGGACATTCCCATATGTGCTCTGTCCCCTTCTTCAGTAACCAAGAAAGAGTCGACATGCTAACAGTACCACTTGCAAAATGATCAAAAATACACTTCTGTTTCCCCTTCAATGTTGAATATCTTCCAGAACATCTACCCCCCCCCCCCCCCCCCACATTGCAGCAGCTAATCTATCAGCTTGCTCATTACTCTGCACACCTGAATATACTTATTAATGAAACAACAGAAATGAAAAATCAATGAAACCAGAAGAGACAGCATCAGAGATGATGACCTCTTTCCAGACGACCACCAGAAAGTATACCATTAGGAGAGCCGTGTGTGTCAATCTAATAGGTCTGTCACAAAAGATAGTTTTAAAATGAACAAACACCTCATCATCATTGACCAGCTCCTTCTTGATGACCTTCATGGCATAGATCCTCTTGGTTTTCTTGTGCTCCACCTGCAGCACCTTGGCGTAGCTGCCTCGACCTATGACCCTCAGCAGTTGGAAGTGATCCAGGTTTGTCTGTCCGCTGTCAGTTTTTACTGGAGCCTAGAATTAGAGATGATCACAACAAGGAACAGTATTCTACAATAACTCTTTATTCTTTACTCATTAACATTACGGAATACCAAATCATTTCCCTAATTTCCCAGGAGTGAGCAGCAATGTCATGGGAAACTGGCTGCGCCATCTCATATGTTGTGACCTAGAATATGTTTAGGCTCAACACTTTATCACGCCAAAAGCTTTATATGCTTTTCAACCATCTCTACCATTCTACAAAGGAGCTATGGTCAGGTAACGGCTACATTCTTATTCATGTTTTGTATGATGACCAGTTGTAAACTTTGGTGGTCAGATTGCCCGTCCAGTTCTGGCTTGTTTATGTACAGACTTGGTTTCTTCTTCACCTTGCAAGCAGCAGTCCCACTCTGAAGGAAACAATAACGGTATCTACGTTAGCCCTGCCTCCTGGTTGGGAACGTGCTGTTTCTAGCATGGCCACGGAACACTGATTGTATCTATGTAAGATCTGCATCCTGGTTGGGAACGTGTTGTTTCTAGCATGGCCACGGAACACTGATTGTATCTATGTAAGATCTGCATCCTGGTTGGGAACGTGTTGTTTCTAGCATGGCCACGGAACACTGATTGTATCTATGTAAGATCTGCATCCTGGTTGGGAACGTGTTGTTTCTAGGACGGCCACGGAACACTGATTGTATCTATGTAAGACCTGCCTCCTGGTTGGCAACGTGTTGTTTCTAGGATGGCCACAGAACACTGATTGTATCTATATAAGACCTGCCTCCTGGTTGGGAACGTGTTGTTTCTAGGTTGGCCATGGAGAAACATCTCTAGGTCTTGTCCAGTGCCTTCTTCCCCCCCCCCCCCACCACATACTGTATCCTGTTCAACACTCTGGTTTATAACTGGGGTTTAAAGTGTTCATCCAATTATATTTATTGTTCTATATATCATGTTTTTATTGATTTAATACAATTGTGTAATTTGTACTGCTGTTTCAAGTATTGCTGTGTTTAAATCTGTTTAGGTGATATAAAAGAAGGTAAATATTGTGCTGTGAATGTTTAGATAATCTTACTAGCATTGTGTCGATAAAATAGTGCATTTATTATGCCCTTAGTATAATGGTTGATTATCCTCGTGGATTTTATCTTTAGAAGAAACCAAATGTGGTTCATCAGCTCTGCATCCTGGCTATCATTCAAAACTCCAGCGATATAGCTCTGTAAAACTGAGATGGACTTCAGAATAACCCGCTTAAAGCGAGCAGAAGGAAATATATTTGGAAGTAAAGATGACAAGCAAGTCACTGACCACATCACCTGCTGAGCGTTGACTGGTCGACAAAACTAGAGCTTTGACTATATTTATCAGGCACAGGAAATTGTTCTTTTCGCCCAAAACTATTGAGGGGAAACAATGTAAAATACCACTGACAGTGAGACTTGTCCTGGCTCTGAGGCAAGAGAAGCAATATCAAGGTTGGATCAATATAGAAGGTATGGTGTTCAAGCAACTATTTCTTCCACTAAAAACGTTTCTCAAGAAACAGAATTTCTAGATGCATCAACTCTTCAGAAACAAGAGGTCACAAACAAACCACAACATTAACTGTCTGTTTATGGTTTTACTTGGTAATTTAACATTCAGTAGTCGGCCATAGTTTTCTGAATGAATAAAGAAAGCTCACCTCTACTTTAGCTGTCTGTCACAAACAGGTTGATATGAAACAGAAGAAAAGATACAAAGTTCAAACAGGCAATCCAGACAGGAAATTGCAAATTATTGAATTTGATGTTAACTTTGTCCATGATCCTAGGTATTACCACAAATGACCAAAGAGGATAAGGGCTACAATGTAAAAGAGCACAAGTACTTTAATTTAAAACATATTTTAATATCTGGCCAGATTTCTTTAGTATTCACAGACCAAGTTTAAAAGACATAACACCACACTGTGTGTAGTTGTCTGCTACCTGGGACTAAAAGAGTCAAAAGAATGCTTCAAATCACAAGCAAAAAACAATGACATCCCTAACAGCTTGTTTCATAAAACTAACTACATCATAATGTTCAAGCTTGAAACACTTTTCATCCCTGTATAAATTATATTGCTTACTTTCAGTTTAGTTGCAAGTACTATATGTTGATATTCATTGTTTTTTCAGGCTTTTTAAAATCATAAACATAACATGTTCACCAGTTCAAAAACAGTAATATATAAAAATCAGAGTAACATACATATTAGGATGGCCACATAATGAGACAGTATTTGAGACAGACACACAATATCATTTGACAGGCATCATGCACATATTTCTCTATATGAGCAGACATGTGCTGATTATACTGCAAATAGCAAATTTCAAAATAAAGAAGCAACAACAAGAAAACAAACACCTTTACCAAAGTTTTAAAAAAAAATTGTACTTTCAAATAAAGACCAAATTATATACAGGATTTATTGATACATTTTACAACATCTTTACAATCATCATCATGTGCCACACCAATCACCTCCTCACATTATCCCCAGTCTCAAATCAGGTGCATGCTCTGCAAATGAGATTTGATCAAGCCATTCAGATATTTCCTCTCTTTGTCCCAGTCTCAGATCAGGTCTATGTTCCACTCATGAGATTTGGTCGAGCCATTCAGATATTTCCTCTCTTTGTCCTCATAATTCCCCAGTCTCAGATCAGGTCTATGTTCCACTCATGAGATTTGGTCAAGCCATTCAGATATTTTCTCTCTTTGTCCTCATAATTCCCCGGTCTCAGATCAGGTCTATCTTCCACTCATGAGATTTGATCGAGCCATTCAGATATTTCCTCTCTTTGTCCTCATAATTCCCCAGTCTCAGATCAGGTCTATGTTCCACTCATGAGATTTGGTCGAGCCATTCAGATATTTCCTCTCTTTGTCCTCATAATTCCCCAGTCTCAGATCAGGTCTATCTTCCACTCATGAGATTTGGTCGAGCCATTCAGATATTTCCTCTCTTTGTCCTCATAATTCCCCAGTCTCAGATCAGGTCTATGTTCCACTCATGAGATTTGGTCGAGCCATTCAGATATTTCCTCTCTTTGTCCTCATAATTCCCCAGTCTCAGATCAGGTCTATCTTCCACTCATGAGATTTGGTCAAGCCATTCAGATATTTCCTCTCTTTGTCCTCATAATTCCCCAGTCTCAGATCAGGTCTATGTTCCACTCATGAGATTTGGTCGAGTCATTCAGATATTTCCTCTCTTTGTCCTCATAATTCCCCAGTCTCAGATCAGGTCTATGTTCCACTCATGAGATTTGGTCGAGCCAATCAGATATTTCCTCTCTTTGTCCTCATAATTCCCCAGTCTCAGATCAGGTCTATGTTCCACTCATGAGATTTGGTCGAGCCAATCAGATATTTCCTCTCTTTGTCCTCATAATTCCCCAGTCTCAGATCAGGTCTATGTTCCACTCATGAGATTTGGTCGAGCCATTCAGATATTTCCTCTCTTTGTCCTCATAATTCCCCAGTCTCAGATCAGGTCTATGTTCCACTCATGAGATTTGGTCGAGCCAATCAGATATTTCCTCTCTTTGTCCTCATAATTCCCCAGTCTCAGATCAGGTCTATGTTCCACTCATGAGATTTGGTCGAGCCAATCAGATATTTCCTCTCTTTGTCCTCATAATTCCCCAGTCTCAGATCAGGTCTATGTTCCACTCATGAGATTTGGTCGAGCCATTCAGATATTTCCTCTCTTTGTCCTCATAATTCCCCAGTCTCAGATCAGGTCTATGTTCCACTCATTAGATTTGGTCGAGCCAATCAGATATTTCCTCTCTTTGTCCTCATAATTCCCCAGTCTCAGATCAGGTCTATGTTCCACTCATGAGATTTGGTCGAGCCATTCAGATATGTCTTCTCTATTTTTTCTTCTTCCTCAGAATTCCGAGCCCTTGAGGTTCATGACTGCAGAATCACCTGCATCCATTTATCGCAGTGATTGGCCTCCTCTTTCCAGCTGGTGACACCAAGTGTTTGTAGGTCTGCCTGGGTATTATCTCTCTACCGTCTTCTTGTACTCCAGGCTTCAGAGCAATGTAAGACAACAGCTTTTACCGTGGTTTCATCTCTTCGTCTTCCTGCACTTACCTTATCAAACACATTGACCAAAGTTTCACACTGATCTCGCCTCACAACACGCCTAAACATCTTGACAGTGTGTCCTCTTCTTCTTTGCTTCTTCTTCTTCACATTCACCGGCTGTAAATTCTGGTAGAAAGTTCTGGGTGTTCGTCCACCTCCGAACTTTAGTTTTGTTCCAGAACCTGAGTGTTGCATGCACATCCATTTCACAAACAGATTTACTCTGACTTTAAAGAATGCCCCAATCAGTCATGCCCCAATCAGTCATGCCCCAATCAGTCAACTCCTTCGACATGCGTGTTGAGGAAGCAGTGGATCTGTTCGTGTTTTCCCCACGATGGAGCCCCAGAACTCACGATGGGGCCCCAGAACCCACACAGGGAAAGTCTGTGTCTTATTTCTTTACATTTATCATTCAAGTGCTGTCTCCACAATGAAGGTTGGCTGTAGTGGATTTCCAACCCTCTGTCTCTGATCCTGGTTATACACTCCCACATACTGCTTTTTGTTCACCTCTTGATGCTGTCCTTCCAGTTATTTCAGTGTGTACTGTTTGCTCTCTTGTCTCTGACTTTTCCCACCAGTGTGGTTTTTATAAGAGTATTATGTTTTTACAGTGCCTGTTTTTTTGTTTATTGTTTTAATTTCCTTGAGCAACTCATTTTTTATTCTCGTCCCACCAAAAAGCTCTGTATCTGATGGATTTTGTTTCCACAAAACATAACCTTTTCTTCTGTATATTCACATCTCCAGAGACTCAACAGTAATTTTCAACTCTGCCTAATGTGGAGGGTAACAGGCTAATTAAAACCAGATGGACGGGGCAAGCAGAGGAAAGCCACCACACTATTCCCCAAGACTGAAGCAACAGAGCTGCCACTTTGGACAAGCAACTGGCAACATCAGATCTTAGCACAGCTAGTGTTAAGTCCAGCAGAGGACAAAACCAGACTTCACAGGTTGTCTTCAAGCACAGTTCTTGCACAAATTTACAAATGAACATGAAATAAAAGACAGCAGTGCAAGGAATGATTAGGTAATCACAGTTTCAACAACCTCATAGCAAATGGATCACCCCATATTGCTCCGTTCTGTGCGAAAGAAAGCCACACATAATTTCCATCACTGTTCCTTGTGGAAAAATTGACAAACTGCAGTATCAGTATATTCAATAGATACACCTGCATTAAAAGCATAAAGCACCTGTCAGAAGTGCTAACACAAACAGTCCAACACTAGAAATGCAGTTCATCATCAATGGAAGCAGCAGTTACAACATTTCAGTAGCTGCACATGTATTTAATCACATAAGGCACCACCAGTTCTGTGGCAACAAGCCACTTGCCAGTTCACAGGACAAACCATGTTGGTTGCAGTAAAACAAAAACATACCAAATTAAGTCTGCAGCTCAAAGTGTCGAGCCATGCACTCAACTTAGTAGATGAGCAATGAAACTATATCCCTTCGGTCTAAACATGGAGGAAAATGCAACAGCCAACTACTGTCAGAAGCAAAAACTTGCCACGACTAAAAACAGTAAACCTCCCTATCCTCCATAATGACCACAGATTGGAATGAAATAATCGATTAGCTGCATGACTAACCCAAGTGCTGAAATGTAGGCTGATATATTTTATAGTGACTGTATTCATGCTGTGCACTTTTTCTACAGTAAATAATTACCAATAGCAGCAACAACAACAAAATAACAAATGGGAACAGCAGCCACACAACTTTAGCTTTTCAAAATAACTATTACTATGTGAGTGCAATAAATCAGTGTGTAAGGTGCTTTCTCAACCAAGAAGTTAAAACAGAGATTAAAAATTGATGTAATGGAGAAAAAAAACATAAACATCAAAATGCACCTAACGTAAATGCCCAAAACGTGACAACATTAATGTTAAAACAAATAAAACAATCCAGGAAAAAGGTTCAGGAAATAACACTAATACACTGTGTTTATGCAGGAGTAAATGCATGATAATTTACAACAGGTAAAACAACACTAATACACTGTGTTTATGCAGGAGTAAATGCATGATAATTTACAACAGGTAAAACATGCACAGCAATGACCTGGAGAGATTGTTGTATTTTTTTAAAGAGGGAATAATTGAACTTGGATGAAATCAAACAAGGGAGCTGCCAGGGTGTTTGGCTAGCGGATCTGGAGGTCATGTGTTCAGGTCCAGATAGGGTCAGACTTTGACTTGAAGGTCGACCCAGCCTGAAGTGGGTACCAGGTAAAGTCATGGGAAGTAAACGTGGCCAGTGTGATTTTGACCACATCACTCACTCACTGCGAGCCACCAGTCTAAGGAAATACAGGTCTAGCCCGATTTGACCACATCACTCACTGCGAGCCACCAGTCTAAGGAAATACAGGTCTAGCCCGATTTGCCCAATAAGCCTGAAGGCGTGGAAAAGAGTCCTTTAGTTTAATCAGCAAAATCCATACATAAATATGTGTAGGAGAGGGGGAGATGTGTAGGAGAGGGGGAGATGTGTAGGAGAGGGGGAGATGTGTAGGAGAGGGGGAGATGTGTAGGAGAGGGGGAGATGTGTAGGAGAGGGGGAGATGTGTAGGAGAGGGGGAGATGTGTAGGAGAGGGGGAGATGTGTAGGAGAGGGGCAGATGTGTAGGAGAGGGGGAGATGTGTAGGAGAGGGGGAGATGTGTAGGAGAGGGGGAGATGTGTAGGAGAGGGGCAGATGTGTAGGAGAGGGGCAGATGTGTAGGAGAGGGGCAGATGTGTAGGAGAGGAGGAAATGCCTGACAGATCACATAAAACAATCAACAGACCTGTTTAAATGACCAAATATGGAGAAACAATGGTCAATGAATGATTTAAAGCCAAAAAAAATTAATAACACGTTTAAAAGACTCAACAAAACAAAAGAGAAATAGTGGGGAATGTATAAAAAGACAAAAACCAATCAAAAAGGCGTCAAAGTTTGACAAACTAGACATCAACAAGCACAAAATGCGTGTAATTTTAAAATAAGTATTCCCAATGTGGGTATAGGGCCCTCTGTGGGTATAGGGCCCCATGTGGGTTTAGGGCCCTGTGTGGGTATAGGGCCCCATGTGGGTATAGGGCCCCATGTGGGTATAGGGCCCCATGTGGGTATAGGGCCCTGTGTGGGTATAGGGCCCCGTGTGGGTATAAGGCCCCATGTGGGTATAGGGCCCCATGTGGGTATAGGGCCCCATGTGGGTATAGGGCCCCATGTGGGTATAGGGCCCCATGTGGGTATAGGGTCCCATGTGGGTATAGGGCCCCATGTGGGTATAGGGCCCCATGTGGGTATAGGGCCCCGTGTGGGTATAGGGCCCCATTTGGTGGGGAGAAGAACAGACACACTGCCCCCCCCCCCCCCCCCCCAACAAGCATGTCGTAAAAGGCAAATAATTAGGGGTTTGCAAAAAGCCAAAAGGTGCAGATTTTGCAGCCCAGCCACAAACCATAACACAACTACCAACTGCACTTTTATGGGCAAAAGCAGAAAAAAGAAGAAGATTAAGAGAGTGCAGTTTGTTCTAACCGTACATAAAGTATATTAAAAGATGCACTCATATTTTGGAATGGTGTTAATGATTGTCTAGATGATGAACCATGTTGTGACCTCTCTAAACTGCCTAACTTTTACAGACACCATGAAACAATAGGAGGTCCACACTGACAGTTGAACAAGATAGGGGTAGCCACAGCCCAGGTAAACTACATTTGAACATCTGTCCACAACAGACAACTGATAATGTGTTTGGACTGAGACTGTTTTCTATATAATACTCACAGTAACAACATTTGTTATCTATTTCCCTGTGGTTTTTATTTTTCTGAAGTCAATCCGTACTTGATTTTATTTAACGTTTACCTGAACTGTGAATTGACTATTTTATTTTACAGTTGAATCTTTTTCTGCATTATTTAAATTCATGATGGAAAAAACATTGTTTTGAGTTTTACAAAGGATGACTAAAACACTTGAACAATACTGTGCTATTTGGACAGGTCATGCCAAACAAGACTTGCAGGAACCACAAATGGCTATAAAGAAAACAATTATATGAAAGCCACTGCCAATAACCATTTTTTTTGCAAAGCATGACCAAAGTAAAATAACACTTGGCTTTCTTTTTTCTTTTTTTTTACCAAGTTAGACTCCGCATCATGAAAAAAGTCTTCATCTTCATCCTCATCGCTTTCCTACAAGACCAAAGTTTACAGGAATTAAATCAGCAAAACTAATCAGAATTTCATTAACAATCTTCTTCTTCTTCTTTTTCTTCTTCTTCTTCTTCTTCTTCTTCTTCTTCTTCTTTTTCTTCTTCTTCTTCTTCTTCGCATCGACTGGCTGTAAACTCCAGCAGAAAGGTTTTGTTCTCTGTCTACTTCTGGACTTTCTCTTGTTGAGTTTTGTGTACACATCCATTTTACAGATCTGGCTTATTTGTATGCAGATTGCTGGTTCCTAGTCTCTCAGGCAGATGCACTACGACTCAGAAGGAAACATCCCTAGTTAGTTGACTCTGATGGCATGCTTGTTGGGGGGGCAGTAAGTCTATTCTGGTTTTTTTTTTTTAAACTCCTACAATGGGGCGCTGGAACCTACTGGGGATCATGAACAATAGTTCTAAGCAGCATCTGAAAAACTTGATGTTTTTATACGGGAAAGTCGATTTAGCAAATCCTAACTGGCAAGAACCACTACAGCAGTGTAGCAGTATCGCTTAGAGGCACTGCCATTTGGCTGTTTGCTGAATCCACTAGAAACCAGGTTTAACTCTTGTTGATCCAGTGCACAGATGGTCACTGATGTGTGAGGTAGATAGATTGGCTGGGAGGTGACCTACTTCATGATAAAGCAGACGTGGTGAAGGCTCTCTAAGATCAAATGGACTGTGCAACAGAACAGACAGATAATCCATACATTAAAAGACTATTGTAACGGGAGGTAAGCAGAGGTTGTGAAAGATATTCAATACTGACGGAAAAACATAGGCACACTTTTAATCAGGTCACAAATAGTACTATTAGCATGTCGACTCTTTGTTGACTACTGAAGAAGGGGACGGAGCATGTATGGGAATGTCCAGAGTTCAGTGATGTCAATTCTTTATTCATTTATTCATTCACTGATGCTCAGCTTACTTCAGTCTGGCTTGCATATTTTCTATGTAGACGCAAAAGATCCTTTATTCACAAGTGGTGCTTCAGACATGGAGGCTAAACCAATCAGCCTTCAGTGGGTCACATGGTCGAACCAATCAGCCTTCAGTGGGTCACATGGTTGAACCAATCAGCCTTCAGTGGGTCACATGGTTGAACCAATCAGCCTTCAGTGGGTCACATGGTCGAACCAATCAGCCTTCAGTGGGTCACATGGTTGACATCATGTCAGCCACCTTTACTTCTTGTATGAATGATCTTTCTAGTTTGTGGTCCAGAACTATGGCCCATGACAAGCCCCATGTTGAACATTTTGACAGCTGAGTGTACTTAACTAAACAGCCCTGCACTAAACCAACGAAAGCCAAGTGCTGCTGTAGACTTGCTCATCACTGCTATGGGATAAAGTAACCTGTCCTGCTGCTGTAGACTTGCTCATCACTGCTATGGGATAAAGTAACCTGTCGTGCTGCTGTAGACTTGCTCATCACTGCTATGGGATAAAGTAACCTGTCTCAAGCCAACCCTTCTTCGACATCTTTCCTTCCCTGATAAATCCTGGTAACACAGAGGCTAAAATCGCCCATTTAGTTGTGCTTTCATTATTAAAAGGAAACCACAAAGTTTAGTCCCATCCAGACTCAACCATCCAGTCCCATCTAGCTCTTGCTAGACCTCTAGCAAGTGAGGTCATCTCCTATTTCACAACTGTTCACAGCTCTTACATTTTCTTCTTCTTCTTTGTCTTCTTATTCATCTTATTATTATTATTATTTTTCTTCTTCTTCTTGTTCTTCTGCCAGTCCATGCCATGTGAACCCACAGACTTTTGTCTGGTGTCCTGTCAATCATTCCTGAAACAGCTGTTCCTCTATACTATGATGACTAACTAATCCCTGCCTGGCTTTACCTCCAGTTATCACAGCATACTCCAGTTCTCCCCTTCTCAAGGTGACTGTCTCATTCTGATGGGGGTCAGGTCTCTTTGTGAGTTATTTCTGTTAGGAGACATCTTTACTTACGCCCATGGCGTTTTTATTCTTTGTCTGTAAAACAATACACATCTCTGTGTGGGTTCCGTTAGGGTGTGTGAGGGGGGGGGGGGGGAGACCTATTGGGCCCTAACAAGCATGTCATACAAGATGACTTTTAAGGAGTGTTGCTGAAATAGGAAATGGTGAGCTGAAATGTGTAGTTATTTTAGCCTAGCTGTAAACCACAAAGGACATATGCACACAAAAAAAGAAGAAGAAGAAACAATAAATATATATATTTCTTATCATTAATATTTTAAAAGCATTGACCTTGAGAGAACTAATGTTCTTTGTGAAACTGTAAACTAGAAAAGAAACTTTGAGAGAACTAATGTTCTTTGTGAAACTGTAAACTAGAAAAGAAAAAAGGTTTGGAAACTGAATCATTCATTCTAACTGGCAATTAAGATGTCCAATGACTAGTGTAAAATGTTAAAATAAATACAAACCAACGCGAACACAATTTATAAATAAACTAAGCAAAACACTGGCACAGGCAGGTTTAACCAACAGAATAATCTAACAGTCAATAGAAAACTGATATACCTCAACAAACTCTTCCACCTTCATTTCCTTTTGTGTGGCAGCATTAAGGAAAAAATAACATGTGAATAATTGTGTTCAATGCTTAATTTAAAAATGTACAAATCATAACCTCAGTAAGATTATTTTAAGTTGAGGGATGTATTAATGTAAATAAACAACCAGATTGAAAAATATAAAGAAGTATCTTATTGACCTCAGGAGCAAACATCACATATATGTGGCTGAAAATGTCTGTCTATGACATCAGGGGCAAACAACATCACATATATGTGGCTGAAAATGTCTGTCTATGACATCAGGGGCAAACAACATCACATATATGTGGCTGAAAATGTCTGTCTATGACATCAGGGGCAAACAACATCACATATATGTGGCTGAAAATGTCTGTCTATGACATCAGGGGCAAACAACATCACATATATGTGGCTAAAAATGTCTGTCCATGACCTCAGGGACAAACAACATCACATATATGTGGCTAAAAATGTCTGTCCATGACCTCAGGGACAAACAACATCACATATATGTGGCTAAAAATGTCTGTCCATGACCTCAGGGACAAACAACATCACATATATGTGGCTAAAAATGTCTGTCCATGACCTCAGGGGCAAACAACATCATATATATGTGGCTGAAAATGTCTGTCTATGACATCAGGGGCAAACAACATCACATATATGTGGCTGAAAATGTCTGTCCATGACCTCAGGGACAAACAACATCACATATATGTGGCTAAAAATGTCTGTCCATGACCTCAGGGACAAACAACATCACATATGTGGCTAAAACTGTCTGTCATGACTAAAATTGTAAGTCTCTCTCTCTGTTACACAATTTAACACAGTCTTCAAAGACAGAACAGTCCAACGATTGCTGTGGGGGGGGGGGGGGGGGAGGGGGAGGGGTGCACAGTGTTAAAACTTCACATAAACCAAGACAAAACTCTTATTTACAAATACAGAACGTGTCTGGCATGGGGCTGCTGCTTTCAAATGAAAATTCCTAAATAAACATAATGAAAATGGCTACTTTCTCACCTCCTTTCCGTACTCCACAGGGTAACTGGTGTGAGCAGCCCTTGTGCCTGAAACACAATGTCAGATATGTCTAGTTTTCAACTCAGTGACAACAAAGCTCAAGTTAGTAAACCTGCAAATGAATACAAGGCACTCTCCTCCTGAATGAGACAAAATCCTTATAATAACCCTTTCTCCCCGATGATCTAGAAAAAAACAAAACCACGAAACAACCGTTTTACACAGGCCACACAAATAAACACTAATAATTCCATTTACAGACCAAAACAACATGAAAATAAAAATGCTACAACATAAGAGGAGTTAACACAAATACAGCAGACAGTTAAGTGGGTACATCTCTATCAGCCTAAAAAAAAGAAAAAAAAACCTGTTTATGTCATTACTCACTTTTGACCTCATGACCCAGTCGCCAGGCTACCACTATGATAAATGGGAAATTCTGAAGTCATAATTTATATTTCAAAAATCCCATTTTTCAGAAGAAAACCCCAGCTGAATGCTATTTTTAGCAAACATAATCATTCATAGTGCTTCTATACTTGTGTGCAGGTACATATAAACATATACATAATGAACAAATGCATACATACATCATGTACACACAATCAAACACACTCAAAAACACACATGGACACATTACATGTTTGCTCACACCCACACAACCATACACGCACACACATATATACATGCAAACATACACACAATCACACATACATACACCTACATGTACCCATACTAATACATACACATACATACTCTCATACAAACACACATGCATTCATGCATTCATGCATACAGACATACACTCATGCATACATACACGTTCACATATACAAGAAAGCACATCCACCCATGCACACATACCATGTTCATGCACATACATACACACACTTATTCACACAGACACACATACAACTACACGGACAAACACTCCAACATATCCAAGCACACACACTCAACATACTTACACACATGTATACACATACATTCACACACTTATTCACACAGACACACATACAACTACACGGACAAACACTCCAACATATCCAAGCACACACAAACTCAACATACTTACACACATGAATATACATACATTCACACACTTATTCACACATACAACTACACGGACAAACACTCCAACATATCTAAGCACACACACTCAACATACTTACACACATGTATACACATACATTCACACACTTATTCACACAGACACACATACAACTACACGGACAAACACTCCAACATATCCAAGCACACACAAACTCAACATACTTACACACATGTATACACATACATTCACACTTAAACATGCTGGTAGATAGGCCTCTCATGAATGGGCCACTATAGCAATGTTTGTAAAGCAACATTTGAAGGATCAGGATCTACGGAGTCACTGCAGTGTGTTGCAATCATCTCAGTCTGTAGTCTACACGAGTGCATAAAGAAGTTTTTGTTTTTTTTAAAGTGGCTGTAAGGATATGCCCAAGAAATTTTTTAAACTGTCAAGCTGGGACAATCTCTGAATCAATACTGGATGGAAAAAAAAAACCTGTCTCTGCTAAGGCTTGAATGTGGAATCTGTCTGTGCAGGCAAATACACAAACCACTAGGTCACCACAGCTCTCACCACAACGGTCAGCCAAGTCAATGACCATTACAAAACTGTTAACCTTTAAAATTCCTTTTTTTTTTAAAAATTTAATTAATAGTCTAAAAAAAATGTCTGCAGTTGGTATCTTAACTAACAACTAACTAAAGACTAACCTTTCCCATCTCCATTCACAGACTGTGTTTCTCCTTGTGCCCCCCTCTCTCCATTCTGGGAACAGGGTTGGTGCTCTTTGACATCCTGGCAGAAACAAACAATATAACTAGTTCAGCAAACAGAGTGGATCAACTCATTAGAAACACTAACCTATTCAATAAGTAAAACACATCAAGTAAATGACCTTAAGTTTTTAGTCTATATGGTGCCAACACCTCATGTTTGTATAAATCCACAGGCATTCAATGAATGAAATGTTCAATACCATGGTGGCCACCTTCACTTCCTACAACATTTCCTGGCTTCTTGAAACTGTTCTTTACAGGATATTGCAGAACCAGCTCCAGCACTTTCTGGCAGATTGTGGTGCCTCCAGGCAGTTTTACATTCAGTAGTTTGCCACTGCTTTCTGAACAACCAAGAGTACATAAGAAAAGACTAAAGGACCCTTTTCCACACCTTTAGGCCCTGTAGAGCTAGGCCTTTACTTTATGGATCAATCTGCACTTGATGGATGATGTGGTCAACAACATGCTCAACGTCGCCTTTACTTCCCAGGACTTGACCTGGTACCCATTTAAGCTGGGTCAACCTGGGAGCCAAGGTCATTAAAAAAAAAATTCTGGCTCTATTAGGACCTGAACTCACAATCTCATCAGCTCTCCTGCCTCATGCACTTTTTTACCCAAGCAGTCACTTATATCTTGTGCCCACCTTCGTGCTGGCCAGTCCCTGCCCCATCTTCCTGGCACCATGCCTTGAGCTACTATTTCTTTTCTAATCCGCTGTGGTGCTTCGTTTGGCCAACATTTTTCAGCTTCCAAGACAAGATGCTGTTTATCAGCAAATCTTCCCTTTAGGATGTGGGCCTTGAGCTGATTTCGACAGTGGTATCGAGAAGCCGACCGTCCAGAAAGCAATGGCAAACTACTGGACGTAAACTTGCCTAGAAAAACCATAACAGCCAAAAAATGCAGGGGTTAGTTCTGCAACGTCCTGTATAGGATATGCAACTAACTATTCTGAGGTTCATTCTATAGCATATCAGCTCAATAGCCTCCTAGAGTTGTTTTCAGTATTTCTTGTCCTCTTTGTCCAGGGTATTCTGAGGTTCAATCTACAGCATTTCAGCTCACTAGCCCCTAGTGCCTCACTCTGTTATGTAGTAAATATCCTTGACGGCCTCCATAACAGAAGTCATTACCCTTCATGAGCTCATGTGTTCAAGTGTAGAGGACGGTTTATGCTGAGTGATATCACTGAAACATGACGGTAACAAAACAAGTGCATAGAGATGTGCATGCCAACAGTTTCTGATTTCTAAAAACAGAAGAATACCAAACAAGGGGCAACAATAAACGCAGCCTGTACACAAGTGGATTAGTTTACCCTTATTTTACCAAATTATTTTTATTTATTCTACGTCAGTTGTTACCTTTACCTATCATATCAGTGCTTCCAACGTTCTGTTCTAGTTGTTGTTTTCAATCCTCCCATTCAGTCTTTATTTCAAAGTTCTGTATTGGTTACTTTCAATGTTCTATTTTAAGTGTTGCTTCCAATGTTTTTTTCTAGTTGCTGTTTCATTCTCTGTTCAAGTTTTCAGAGTTGCTTTCAATGTTCTCTTCTAAGTGATACTTCTAATGTTCTGTTCTAGTTGTTTTCAATTCTCCTTTTTTAAAGTTCTGTACTGGTTGCTTTTAATGTTCTATACTAATTGGTGAAGAAGAAGAAGAAGAAAGCTAATGTTCTATTGGAATAGGAAAGACAGAAGATGAAAACAAGACTACCAAGGCTTCAAGCATAGACATAATACTCAAATTTCTCTCAGCAATAATAAAAACAATATTTCCTTTTCATTCTTTCACTTTCTTTCCTCCTTGCTTTCATCATGAAATGTCTACCTCCAGTGTTCCACAGTGCTTTTTGTAAAGCTTATGGCAGCGTTTGTGTACGGTGACTCTACAGTTTGTACACTTGTACCCCTGGCGACCCAGCCCCCAGATCCTGTCCTGGCAAAATGCACATGCAGCTGTCTAAAATACGAAAACAGAAAAATGAAATCACTGGGACATCACTAAGGCTAACCAAACAGCAAGCCAAACATAAATCATCTCTCATTGCACTGCAGCGTTTTTTCTTTAGAATCCGTATATAAATTTACAATATAATCTGGGGGTCAGGGACATAAATATATGTGCCATAACAACCATTACCGATAGTGGTCTATGATCTACAATGTAACTTATGTAAAGAAAAAACTGAATGCAAAAATTGTCCCAGATAAACTAACAAACAAACAAAACTGAACTTAATAAAAGCTTATGAAAGGAGAGCATGTGCTTTATAGCCTGTACTTTTGTGCAAATGTTAGAGTCTGGGAAACATCCAAAGGCAGCCGTGATGGGGTTTCAGAGGAAAATATAGAAAATACCATGGAAAGACAGAAAAATATAAAAACTCAGTCTTAGAAACAGATGAAAATGTAAACTAATCAAAGAAATTACATGCAGGCAGGCACAATTTGCTGGGGCATCCGTGGTACATAGTGAACATTTTCTCTGACATATAGCAATTCAGTGTGTGGGTTCCGGGGCTCCATTTAGGGAATGGAAAGAGCTTGAGAAAGAGACCCAATGCCCCCTAATAAGTATGCCATAGACGGCAGCTAATTAGGAAATTCCTGAAATGGGTTGGGCCGAAAGATGATGAAGATATTGCAGCCTATCTGACTGCCCTTTTTCGGGTGAAAGCATTCAGTCAGCAACCAAACATTCCTGTCGAAGATCAAACAATGACGGCAAACTATGAACATCATATTAATATACATGAGCCAAAAGCAGTTTATTACAAAAGACAGATCAATCTGACACTGAAAATGAACAAGCAGATCAGAGAAAACAAGAACCACTGGCACACATACCAGGTGCCCATGTGGATTCCGGGGCGGTATTATGAGGACAATAAGAACAGACACACTGCCTCCCCAACAAGCACGTCGTAGGAGAAGCCTGAGAAGCAAGGAAGCTAAAGGCTGCACACAAATAAGCCAGATCTGTGAAACTGATGCGCATGCAGCAGGTTCTGGAGCAAGACTAAAGTCCGGAGGTGGACGAACACCCTGAGCTTTCCGCTGGACTCAGTGAGCATCAAGAAGAAGACTGGTCAGTGAAAAGTAAAATGAAGAAACCTTTTTATGCCAGTAGTGCCTCACATATGATGCTAGACTAATCAGCACTCGGTGAGTGACGTGGTCAGCATCAAGCTAGTCGCCTTTACTTCCCAGACCATTTGCTGGTACCCACTTTAGGCTGGAGGCCAAGGCCAATTTTGAAAAAAAAATCACTCTTGATGTGGATTCAAACTTAGGACCTTTGAGCCAGCATGTGAGCATCTAGTCACCCAGCTATGGCAGTACTTGCCAGTCAGTAATACTTAACGGTTATCAGGGCTTTTTAGTCCTGGCACCCTTTTTTTTTCATGCATCCATTTTTTTCCAAAGCTACTAAAATAGACACCCTATGGTCAATCAATACTCTTGTGCACACCTTGAGGTGAAGCAGGTATATGGTGCTAAACCTATATTTTATACAGCAATCAGCACTTAGATGGTGATGTGGGCAACATCAAGTCAGCCATCTGTAGTGAGCACCGACACATTTTTTAATGCATCACTTTGCTCCAGGAAGAATAGATGGCGAGTACTAGCATCTTGTGTTTTAGACACTTTCTGGTGAGTGTTGACACCTTTGTCTAGACACACACACACACACACACACACACACAAACAGACCATTAACAAGACTGCAGAAAATCAAGTGCAGGTATTAAGGATGCAGTGGTATAATAGAATAATAAAAACATGCTGGCCTGAAAAACTGATCAATGATGAAAACCTAGAAAGAACATCACAGAGGACAAAAAATGCCTCAAAATGCCTCAAAATGAAAACTGTAAAAGCTTGCCCTTTTTTTCCTAGGATACCAATTATCCATTTGTTTGTCCTAGGATACCAATTATCAATTTTTTCCCTAGGATACCAATTATCAATTTTTTTTTGTCCTAGGATACCAATTATCAATTTTTTTCCTAGGATACCAATTATCCATTTTTTTGTCCTAAGATACCAATTATCCATTTTTCACTAGGATACCAATTATCCATTTTTTCCTAAGATACCAATTATCCATTTTTTTTCTAGGATACCAATTATCCTTTTTTTGTCCTAGGATACTAATTATCCATTTTTTTTTTGTCCTAGGATACCAATTATCCATTTTTTGTCCTAGGATACCAATTATCCATTTTTCCCCCTAGGATACCAATTATCCATTTTTTCCCTAGGATACCAATTATCCATTTTTTCTAGGATACCAATTATCCATTTTTTTCCTAGGATACCAATTATCCATTTTTTTTCCTAGGATACCAATTATCAATTTTTTGTCCTAGGGTACCAATTATCCATTTTTTTCCTAGGATACCAATTATCCATTTTTTCCTAGGATACCAATTATCCATTTTTTTTCCTAGGATACCAATTATCCATTTTTTTGTCCAGGTGAACAATGTTTGCCCAATATGTAGATACTATACACTGATCTGGGAGTCGCCGTGGCCGAGCAGCTAGACGCTCGCCGCGGATCGGAAGGTCATGGGTTCGCTCACTGGCGGAGCCGGACTTATTTCAAAAATGACCTTGGCTCTCAGGTCGACCCAGCCTTGAGTGGGTACCGGGTGCAGTCCCGAGAAAGTAAAGGCGGCCGGCGTGATGCTGACCACATCACCCATCTTGTGCCGATTGGTCTATAAAAATACAGGTCTAGCCCTATATGCCCTATATGCCTAAAGGCGTGGAAAAGGGTCCTTTACTTTACTTATACACTAAACTAGATGAATACTGATTGGCATATGAAGACAAAAAATCAGCACCACAAACAATACAAATTCTCAAGCAGCCACACATGACTGAAACATTTACACTTCAACAAATAATTACATGCAGATCATAGCAGTCAATACGAGACTACTGCTAATTTCAGGAACAATGGCTCCAAACAGGCATGCATATTTACTTGTAAAATTCCTGCAGGGGTTATTTGGAGGGGAACAGAACAGACTCACTGCTGTCTCACTAGAGGCGACTAATGAGGTTTTGCTGAAAATGAATGTGGTGGGATGAAAGGCACAGATATCACAGCCTAGCTGTAAACCAGAACAGGTGCCAAAAGTAACTTTTAAGGGTGATCGCAGAAGAAAATTGGTAAACAAGTCAAGGGGCCCTTTCAACATCTTCCAGCACAGAGGGTATATGGTGCTATTGCCCCATTTGCCCTATAGATTAGCGGTTTTTAGCCGCGAGGGGGGGGGGGTGCCTCCCAGGGAAGGAGCGGGGTGTCAAGCAATTCTGAAATTGAGAGCATTTGTACTTGTAAACAAAACCTCGTCCAATAAGATCAAAAATAACAAGATAAAACAGCATTAACCAATTTGCTGATATCTGGCCACTAAATTACCACCTGTTGGTGAATTTTTCTTTTATATTATTTGACACCCAATAGTGCACAGAATTCTTCTTTTTGTCCTCATTTTAATAACATTTTAGGTTCAAAGTTGGATGGACAGAGGGGGGTGTCTTGCCATATATTCTAGGGAAAAGCCACCTGAATAAGGTTCAAAGTTGGATGGACAGAGGGGGGCGTCTTGCCATATATTCTAGGGAAAAGCCACCTGAATAAGGTTCCAAACCACTGATATAGAACAAAGCACCCAATGGCCAATACTAGACTCGGCTCCTTTATAGTTCACATTTCCTGGTATCCAACTGAGACTGGGCCAAGATGCATGTCCTCAAAATATGCAACTTAAAGGGTTTACTGGTATTATATCAGAGGTTCTTAGTGATGATTACCCTAGTAATTGCTTCTGACTTCTTTGAACAATCCCTACTGTTGTTAGAAAATGGGGGTCGGGGTATAAGAAGTTTGTCAGATTTGCAGCCAATTCACCGTAATTTTGGTTCATGTGTGGTTTTACTGCCTTACAAATGTATCTGTATGAGGTACTGTGCTTCTAGTTTAGATTCATTTTTGATTTGCCGACAGCAGCAGCATAATGACAATCAGGTATCACCTATAGTACAAGATGCTTTGCTCTGTGTGACAATAAGATAAAGGTACAGGCTACAATGTCCTTTATTCATCTTTTGTAATTGGATCTATAATGCTGAGGTGTATTTTATGTGGTTTTTTTTTCAATCTGTCCTTTCATTTGAGATGATTCCTTTAGAACAACCAGTAATACTGCTAACTGTATCCAGTTTATTAAGATGTATGTTTCACAAGGGATAAATAAAATGTTGGTTTCCCCTTTCCTTCCACCAGTTTGTGTATGCTCTGACTCAGATAGTCATTGCCTAAAACAGAGACTCTTCTAGCAGCTCAGTATAGCAATGTGTATGCTAACTGCAGCAGTACAAACACACAGACTGACCAGCCAACACAAGGCATTGCTGATGTTTACAACAAAAACAACAAGACTGAATTATAAAGACTAAAGAGAATAAACCCATGGCCAACACAAGGCATTGCTGATGTTTACAACAAAAACAAGACTGAATTATAAAGACTAAAGAGAATAAACCCATGGCCAACATAAGGCATTGCTGATGTTTACAACAAAAACAACAAGACTGAATTATAAAGACTAAAGAGAATAAACCCATGGCCAACACAAGGCATTGCTGATGTTTACAACAAAAACAACAAGACTGAATTATAAAGACTAAAGAGAATAAACCCATGGCCAACACAAGGCATTGCTGATGTTTACAACAAAAACAACAAGACTGAATTATAAAGACTAAAGAGAATAAACCAACAGCAGTTACAGGTTACCCGTGAAAATCTCTTGGCTTGGAAAAGATGTCCATTGACTCGATATAATTTCCTCCACCGACGGGCTCCTCTCCGATACATGTTTCCTATTTGGAGATATGAATTTATCAAAAATATGGGGGGGGGGGGGGGGAATAAAGATGAATATGAAAATGAAAATAAAAAGTAAAATGAATACTATCGCATGAAATAACTCAGAAATGAGAAAGATAACAGAAAATGAAGAGTGATAAGATGTTTTTAAAAAAAAACAATGACTGATGATGGATATCTTCTTGTTTGTTGACCGGCTGTAAGCTTTGGTGGAAAATCCTGGTTGTTCGTTCATTTGGGCTTTATGCCAGGGCCTGAGTTTTGTGTGTACATCAGTTTTGCTGACTTACTTGTGTGGTTGTTCCTTGCCGCTGGGGCAGGTGTACTCCGACATGAGGAAGGAATCAAAGAGGAATATGGTAAAGAAACTGATCAGAAGGAACTGGGGAGAGATGATGACAAATAATGAGATCTATCAAGGAAACATTAACCAAGGATATGAAGTGAAAACTAATAAATTATAAGAAGAAGAAAATGATACAGGAGATAAAGGAAAATTGGGGATATGAAGAAACAGCTGATCAGGGATATAAAGAGAGGAAGCTGATCAGGATATAAAAAGGGGAAGCTGACCAGGGATATAAAAAGGGGAAGCTGACCAGGGATATAAAAACGGGGAAGCTGATCAGGGATATAAAAAGAGGAAGCTGATCAGGGATATAAAGAGAGAGAGCTGATCAGGGATATAAAGAGAGAGAGCTGACCAGGGATATAAAGAGAGAGAGCTGATCAGGGATATAAAGAGAGAGGGCTGACCAGGGATATAAAGAGAGAGGGCTGATCAGGGATATAAAGAGAGAGAGCTGATCAGGGATATAAAGAGAGAGAGCTGACCAGGGATATAAAGATATAAAGAGAGAGAGCTGATCAGGGATATAGAGAGAGAACTGATCAAGAATATGAAGAGATAGCTTTTTGGGGAAATAAAGAAAGGGATTATTGGGGATATGAAGAGAGAGCTGATCAGAGATTTGAAGAGCTGATTGGGGATAAGAGAGAGCTGATTAGAGATATGAAAAGAGAGGTGATTGGGGATATGAAGAGAGGGAGCTGGTGAGTGATATTAAGAGAGAGTTGATCGGGGTTATGAAGAGAGAGCTGACTGGGGATACAAATAGAGAGCTGATCGGGGATATGAAGAAGAGAAAGAAGAAGAAGACAACAAGGAGGCGGATGAGAAAGTGAATGTGAGAAGATGGGAAAGTGGTGGAACTCCCACAGCAAGTGGGGTCATAAAGCTTCACACTTACTGTCCTCCCCTACACAGGGCATGCCAGGTTTTTCTGGAACACTGGGGAACACTGTGAAACAGAGAAAAGCTGTATCAGCAACATAGACCTCCAACAATTGCATGAACATAAATAAATGACAGGGAACAGGGTTGCTGAAGAGCAAAGTGAAGAATCAACGGGGAATATACAAGTAAATTCTTCTTCTTCTTCACGTTCACGGGCTTTAAACTCCGGTGGAAAATTCTTGTTGTTCGTCTACTTCTGGACTCTAGTCCTGTTCCAGAAACTGAGTGTTGCATGCACATCCATTTCACAGGTCTGTTTCATATGTATGCAGCCTGTTGGTTCCTTGCCTCTCAGGAGATGTACTCTGACTTCGAAAGAAGCTTCCATTTAGTCTTACGACATGCTTTTGGGCAGGCAGTGGGTCTATTCTTGTTTTCCCCGCAATGCGGCTTAGGAACCCACACGGGAAATACAAGTAAATTAAACAGGAGACTGATGAAGGATATAAAAAGGGTACTGAAGAGGTAATAGTAGGAGGATATGAGTACTTGGGGACTCACCATGTATGTTGAGTTCTGTGTCCTTGTTGACCTCATACAGCCTGATGGCTTCATTCAGTTCAATCTGAGAGGAGATTGTACACGGATCACCTAAAGGAAGTTAACAAGAACCAAATATCAGGGAGCTGTCAATACTTTTACTCCCTAGCTGCTTCAACCTGCTTTGATTTGTACAAGACCACATATATTGTTAGTGGATAACTCTCCTTCCTCTCTTCTGTGTGTGTGTGTGTGTGTATATATATTTACATATATATGTGTGTGTGAGGGGAGGTGGATGTGTGTGCACGCATACATGTGTGTATGTGTGATGGCATATGTGCATGTGTGTGTATGAGTGTGCGCATGTGTGCATGTATGATTGCAACTTTTCTAATTTAGAAATTCAATGGCCACTTAGCCTGCTTCTTCGTTTATCATTTTCAACTGCTGAAAGATGTTGAACACAACATACACAGAGTCTGATGTGCTGAAAGATGTTGAACACAACATACACAGAGTCTGATGTGCTGAAAGATGTTGAACACAACATACAGAGAGTCTGATGTGCTGAAAGATGCTGAACACAACATACACAGTCTTTGATGTGCTGAAAGATGTTGAACACAACATACAGAGAGTCTTTAATGTGCTGAAAGATGTTGAACACAACATACAGAGTCTTTAATGTGCTGAAAGATGTTGAACACAACATACACAGAGTCTAATGTGCTGAAAGATGTTGAACACAACATACAGAGAGTCTTTAATGTGCTGAAAGATGCTGAACACAACATACACAGTCTTTGATGTGCTGAAAGATGTTGAACACAACATACAGAGAGTCTTTAATGTGCTGAAAGATGTTGAACACAACATACAGAGTCTTTAATGTGCTGAAAGATGTTGAACACAACATACACAGTCTTTAATGTGCTGAAAGATGTTGAACACAACATACACAGTCTTTAATGTGCTGAAAGATGTTGAACACAACATACACAGTCTTTGATGTGCTGAAAGATGTTGAACACAACATACAGAGAGTCTTTAATGTGCTGAAAGATGTTGAACACAACATACAGAGTCTTTAATGTGCTGAAAGATGTTAAACACAACATACACAGAGTCTTTGATGTAATGAAAGATGTTAAACACAACATACACAGAGTCTCTGATGTGCTGAAAGATGTTGAACACAACATACACAGAGTCTCTGATGTGTAATGTGCTGTCTCCACAAGGTCACTAACAACACAAGAAGAGACAGGGTTATGAATACCAGCATTAGAGAGAAAGTTGGAAAAAGACCATGTCTGGACTATACTGACAGACAAAGAATGAAATGGTTCGGCCATCTAGTGAGAATGCAGCCAGGCCAAAGTGCAAATGAGACTTTTTACAGCAGAAAACTCACCCAGTAGAAACAAACTGCAACCTATGGCTAGTATTTCAGCAAAGAAAATCATGACTGTATGTAAAACATCCTTTAATATGACAGTCCCTGTGTGGGTTTTGGGGCCCTATTGTGGGGAAAACAAGAATAGACCCACTGCCTCCCAAACAAGCATGTTGTAAGAGTCGACTAATTGGGGGTTTCCTTTGAAGTCAGAGTGCATCTGCCTGAGAGGCAAGGAACCAACAGTCTGCATACAAATAAGTCAGTTCTGTAAAATGGATGTGCATGCAACATTGAGGTTCTGGAACCAGTCTAAAGTGCAGAGGCCGATCAACAACCAGAACTTTCTGCCAGAGTTTACAGCCAGCGAACAGAAGAAAGAAAGAAGGAAAGATTGACAAGAATCTAGCATAATTATCAAAAATCAAAGCTGTAAGATATTCAGATCATTTCATACCTTCTTCATCGAGCCATTTCACAGTGAATGGCTGAACATCATCAAATTTGCAAATGTCTTTGATCTCAGCACAAAAGTCCAAGTACTTGACATCATTTTTGATGCTGGTTACTAAAATACTCCTGCAAGGTTGATAGAAACCAAAATATTATTAAAATACAAATAAAAATAAGGATTCTTTTCATGTCCCCCCAAAAAATGGTGAATGTTGAATTAGGAATTGACATTATAGCACTCAGAACACTCCCATAAGCGCTTCGTCCTAATCTTCAACAGCAAGCAAAGAGTTCCAATTTCAATGGCAACAGTAACTGTCTGAATCTTGTCATGTCATTTGTGCATAAGGCATATATATGGTACTGGACCAATCAGTCTTCGATGGGCTGATACAGGGCGGAGAGCGGGCTGATACAGGATGGGCTGATACAGGGTGGGCTGATACAGGGTGGGCTGATACAGGGTGGGCTGATACAGGGTGGGCTGATACAGGGTGGGCTGATACAGGGTGGGCTGATACAGGGTGGGCTGATACAGGGTGGGCTGATACAGGGTGGGCTGATACAGGGTGGGCTGATACAGGGTGGGCTGATACAGGGTGGGCTGATACAGGGTGGAGGGCAGGCTGATACATTGTGGGCTGATACATTGTGGGCTGATACATTGTGGGCTGATACATTGTGGGCTGATACATTGTGGGCTGATACATTGTGGGCTGATACATTGTGGGCTGATACATTGTGGGCTGATACATTGTGGGCTGATACATTGTGGGCTGATACAGGGCGGGCTGATACATTGTGGGCTGATACATTGTGGGCTGATACAGGGTGGGCTGATACAGGGTGGGCTGATACAGGGTGGGCTGATACAGGGTGGGCTGATACAGGGTGGGCTGATACAGGGTGGGCTGATACAGGGCAGAGGGTGGGCTGATACAGGGCAGAGGGTGGGCTGATACAGGGTGGGCTGATACAGGGTGGGCTGATACAGGGCAGAGGGTGGGCTGATACAGGGTGGGCTGATACAGGGCAGAGGGTGGGCTGATACAGGGCGGGCTGATACAGGGTGGGCTGATACAGGATGGGCTGATCCAGGATGAGCTGATACAGGGTGGGCTGATACAGGGTGGGCTGATACAGGGTGGGCTGATACAGGGTGGGCTGATACAGGATGAGCTGATACAGGGTGGGCTGATACAGGGTGGGCTGATACAGGGTGGGCTGATACAGGATGGGCTGATCCAGGATGAGCTGATACAGGGTGGGCTGATACAGGGTGGGCTGATACAGGGTGGGCTGATACAGGGTGGGCTGATACAGGGTGGGCTGATACAGGGTGGGCTGATACAGGATGGGCTGATACAGGATGGGCTGATACAGGGTGGGCTGATACAGGGTGGGCTGATACAGGGTGGGCTGATACAGGGTGGGCTGATACAGGATGGGCTGATACAGGGTGGGCTGATCCAGGATGGGCTGATACAGGGTGGGCTGATACAACAAGGCTATTTCAATAGTACACTGGTTATAGACACATAGTTCTCTTCCTATCATGATGTCCCTCCTTGCTGAATCTACACCTATGTCGTCATTCCCACATTTAGACACATTATTTCATCTAACGTCAATAGCTTCGAGCAGTATTCATTCACAAATTGTCTTCAGAATGTCTCCTTCTCCCAGTACCCGTGTTTCTGTAAACAAAAAATCTGCTCTTTCATTCTCTCGCACTCCAGCATATCCCAGACAGTATATCCACAAGAGTCCCTGTAATTCTGAAGTGCTGATGCCAAATATAAGCTGAAAACATTTGACAAATGAAACAATGGCAGCCACGATGGTCTAGCGGCTAGACGCTTGCCTGCAGATCAGAAGGCTGTGGGTTCGGTTCCTGACTTTCTTTCAAAAATGACTTTGGCTCCCAGGTCGACCCAGCCTTGGGTGGGTACCAGGTCTTGGGAAGAAAAGGTGGCCAGCTTGATGCTGACCACATCAACCACCAATTGCCATTTGGTCTATAAAATGTATGTCTAGCCCTATATACCCATACGCCTAAAGGTGTGGAAAAAGGTCCTTTACTTTTACTTTACAAATGAAACAATAACAATTATTTACCCATTGTAACCGACTTTCATGCGAACAGAATTCTCCAGGTCCCCACTGTCCAGTGTTGGCATCCTAAATGCTGAATGAGACTAAAATACAAGGGGGGCGGGGGGGGGGGGGGGGGGTGTATGTAGCAGCATTTTATTCAATGTTATATGAATCAAATCACAAGAGGAATAATTTGTTACTATTGATGTGTTTTTTAAAGAATTCTGTTTTCTAACCTCCAGTGGTAGGAATTCATTGCATAAGATCATGTTATAACATACAGTATACGCTTGTGTGACACATAAGTAAACAAGTGAATATTTTGTTCTAGACATGAGAGAGCACCCAAACATCTGACTGCAGAGTTTAAAGAGTCTTCTATATCAGGGGTTCCCAATAATATGAAACTCACAGACCCCCCTCTTATTTTTGAAGCTCTGCCAAGGACCCTATACTTTTTAGTAGTCATTTTGAAATAATAAATCTATATGAGAATTTCTCCCCACAAAGAAAAGGAGGAAGGGGTGTTTAGGTTGGTTTTTTTTTTTTTTTAGAGGATAACACAGACCCCTTGATTTGAGGACCACTGTTATAGAGGACTCACCAACAGCCATGTTTTTCTGCTAGCTTTTAACTTTTACTGGAGCACGGACCCTAAACCAACTTACGCCAAGCTCTTTGTAGACGTGTTCATTTTTTATTAGTTTAGGTAGCTACAGCTGTCTGCAGAATGGGGAGCCACTCTCATACCAACCTTCCGTAGATGCACGCTGGGACATGCACTAGGTATTACCATTCCTTGTTTCACTGTGTGTTTTAACTCTAACTTGAAAATAAAATTTGTGAGGACTACCATCAAAGTACTCTTGACAGATCATGGGTGCTCGGATCCCCTCCTCATGGACAATAGCTTCACAAGGCTAAAATGACAGATCATGGGTGCTCGGATCCCCTCCTCAAGGAACACAGCTTCACAAGGCTAAAATGACTGATCACGATGCCCGTTCTGTGCAGATTAAAGACGTCTAGTGCCCTAGTTGAAACCTTCATGCCTGTCGGCCACAGGGTGCACCCCCGATTTCCGCAAACAGACAAGGAAAACAACAGTTGAGTTACTTTACAGTTTTAGTTTTACACTCACAAGCAGACACGATTTCTTTTCTGTCGTTGCAGAATTGCTACCACCTTCAGGCTGCAGTGATTAGCAGCCTCCGAGGCCAGGGCTGAGTTGAATTAAGTTAAAATCCGATATCACAGCCTTGGGGTTATTCCCACTATCTCTCCGTCCCCATCGTTTGCAGTCAGCTACCAAGTCAGGCCAGCGAGTATCTGTATATTATTATTATTAATATTATTATTAATTATGCCTTGAAGATAATAAATTTCAATAAAGAATATTGTAAAAGTAAAGTATATGCGAGACGAGCTGTTAAGACTTACTCGCAGTTGGAAATCTTAAACAAATGGAATGCACAGCTCAATGTATCTAGATATATACAGCCAGAAACGAGATCTAGGGGGGTAGTCTGTAGCCAGCAGACGGGACAACAATCATAATAAAATACACCGGAAACTGAATACTAAATGTTTTCTATTACGGTATGTGACAGTTTCGAATTTTTGCTCCCTTCATCAGTAAATATCTTCTTCAGCATTTTGAACCCTTTAAAGCTCACGGTTTTATACATCACCCGCCTCCATTCATCCATTTTCACTCCAATTCGTGACTCCAAGTTTGTGTAGGTCTATCTATATAATATTTTTCCACAGTCTCCTTGGTTTGTCTCATTATCTTCTTCCATTGCAACTACACGTGTACACAATTTTTGCCTATGTCATATATATATATATATATATATATATATATATATATATATATATATATATATATATATATATATATATATATATATATATATATGTCGGCTTTGTGGCTAAGTCGATGCAAACGCTTCGTAATGCCGGGATGCCGGGTTCAATTCCAGCTGCGGGCCATGGGCCTTGCGTTGGTTTCGACAGTGGTATCAAGAAAGCCGACTGTCCAGAAGAAATGGCAAACTACTGGACGTAAATTTGCCTATAAAAACCACACAACAGCCAGGGGCTGTTAGGGTTGGTTCTGCAACGTCCTGTAAAGGATACGCAACTAACCATATATATATATATATATATATATATATATATATATATATATATATATGTGTGTGTGTGTGTGTGTGTGTCCCAGCCACTTCAGTATTGAAGCCCCCGTGATGACAGTGATACATTTTTATTTAAATAGATGATGAATTTCATTTTTGAAATAAATAATCATTCATCATTGGCACCTTTCCGTCTTTCCAGACAATAGTGTTATATTGCGCTATGAGGAGGCATGAGGCTCACAGCCCATGGCGATGGCGAGTGTAACTAGCAAGACCCGCCCGTGTCAAGAAAAGTCTTCCACAATGATAGCATGGGATTTCAGGACCATTTTTGTCAACATTTGAGTTTAATCCGTTTCTTTTCAGACGCTCAGCTCTCATCCTTTCTGCAACCATTTCTTCCTTCAGTCTCATTGCCTTCCTGATGCCCTTTCCACGCAACACGGTTCATGGCATTTTGTTCGCATGAGTCCGCCTCAATACCTGTATCATTTATGTCCCGCTTGCATACATCTTTATAACGTAGTAGAGGTCGGCCTCGATACCTTCTTCCTGTCTTTAATTCACCATAAAGGATGTCCTTAGGGACTCTGTCATCCTCCATTCTCCAAGTGTGACAGACTGACTGACTTTCTACCCCACCAGGACATCACACAAGCGATAAACACCCGATGACACAAAGTGCCACCATGTGGATGAGGATCGCCGTGGAGAGGTCCCAGAAACCGCGTTCAGACACCTGGCCATATGTATGGCCTGCCTATATTGCGGCCCCTGGCAGAAGCCAGAGTAGGGCTTCAAATGACAAAAAAATTCGTCCTGAAAAGAACGAAATTGAGAATTACACCAGGTGTGACACAGCCCCTAGAGCCTTTATAGTCTGTGCATTCAGAAGACTGTTGTAGTACCTGCTCTTTTCAGTACCACAGTGCTTGTGATTTTGTCCTGCCACTTAATGCCAAGTATTCTTCTTAGGCATCGCATGTGAAAGCTATTAAGACGTCTCTACTGGTGCAAATAGGTTGACCAAGTTTCACTGCATAAAGCAAAGTGCTGAGAACACAAGCCTGACAGACAAGGGTTTTTGTTTTATTTGTGAGCTTTCTGTTCTCCCAAACTCTTTTTTGTCAATCTGCTCATTGCTGTTGCTGCCTTACCTATCCTGGTGTTGATTTCTTGGTCCAGCGATAGTTTACTATTCACTGTGGAACCCAGATAGGTAAAATGGTCTACTGTCTCAAGCTCTTCACCGTCAATGTAGACTGTAGGTCTGTCATTGACACCTTGCTCCATATCACACCTTGCACCATAACCGTTGCAGGTGCCTTGTTGTTCCTCATAGCTTGCTCTTAATGCCAGATTGATTTCTCTCCGTAGTGGTACGTATAGTGAGCAGACCTGTAGAATGTGATCATGTGTGTGTAGTCCTATCTTCATCTTCTTTGTTCATTGGCTGTAAGCTCCAGTAGAAAGTTCTGGTTATTGTCCACTTGGACTTTGGCTTTGTGCCAGGGCCTGAGTTTTGCGTGTACATCCGTTTTACTGGCTTATTTGTATGCAGTTAGTAGTTCTTTGCTGCTCCGGCAGATGTACTCTGACTTCGAAGGAAGTCCCCAGTTATTACGACATGATTGTTGGGTAGGCAGTAGATCTATTCTTGTTTTCTTCCACAATGGGACCCTGTAGCCCACGCGGGAAGTAGTCCCATCTGATATGCACACTGTTGGGAATTTACAGACTTTATTTTATGCCTGTGGTAGTTAAGCCTGTAGTCTTGTTCTTAGATGTAAAATTGTTGTATAATGTTTCTTGTTGAGTCTGTTGATGGCGTCTTGTGGATATATACTGCTGGTTTGTTTATTTGATAAGTGATTTGATTTCTGTTAATGACAGTCAAAGTGTGTGTTGGTTCACTTGTTTTCCATTCTTTACAAGTCTGCCAGCCAGCTAATTTCTTTCTATGCCACAGTGTCCCGGGATTCACTGTGTCCCGGGATTCACTGTGTCCCGGGATTCACTGGAGTACGATTTGATTGTTTTGTGAGAGTTTATTTAGCTTGTATTCAATTATCTGTCCATATTGTCTCGTGGATCTCACTGAGTTGCCTGGAAGACTGATATGTAGTAACAGAGACAATAATTTTGCATCTTTCATTTTTATTATCTCAAGCAGTTTTGTTGCATCAATAATTGCGTGCTATCCTTCTCTAACGTTTGTTGAGAGTGTCCCTGAGTTAGGTTGTAGGTCTGTGTCTGGACAGTTCTCACGATACCAGGTTTTTAGAGGGGATGTCACTGTTTTTGGCGCAGGGCAGTTTTGATAGATGGTGGAAACTGTATTTTCAGTCGGTTGTTTGTTAGGCTGTCCGCTGTTCTTTGCATGGGATTGTTGTTCATCCGGTTCAGTTTTTCTGTCAGGGTAAGCTTTGTTTTCTTTCCTTCCTTGGATGTCTCAAGCTCTGGAGGCTAGAAGTTGCCTACAGGACAATGATTGATGTATTTCTCATACCTTTAGTGATGGTTCTGAGACCGATGTTCTGTACATTCGTCAAGTCTGTTTAGATTTGATTTTTATTGCAGTTGAGTAAGCTCCATTGACATACAAGTTTTTGTCATACGTATCCTGTATATACATTGGGGTAAATCGTGACCAAAAATATTAAAGAAAATGGGGGGGGGGGGGGAAATGCAGTGGTAACCAAGAACGAGCGTTCGACAACCATTGTGCATGAAAGTACATCCGTTTTTTTTTTAACTTTTAGCATTTGATATTATAGAAGGCTGTGGATTGCCGACGCATTACCAACGCACGCGGCGTGGACTAGAAAACTAATATATATATATATATATATATATATATATATATATATATATATATATATAGACTCAATCTGACGGAGTGAATGGGGCGTAGATTTTGGGGGATACGTCAAAGAAAG